CGGCCAACTCCCAAGTAAGGTGATGATGAAAGACAGGCGGTCATCTGAAGGCTCTTTTACGACCAACAAAGGTCGAATCACAGCCAATGCTATGGGTCATTAAGTTAGGGGAAAATTCGACCACGAGGTAATAGTTTGTAAAAGACCATTGTCAAAGGGTGCGCAGTTGGGCCGCGTCTCGGAGTGGCTGAACGCTGCTGCGTTGTGGGGAGGAATGGAACCTCGCTTTCCACAGCCATTCTGCCGGGTTTCTGGCGCGTTTTTGCAGGAATATTTGACGGGCTCGCAACAGAATGACATCCACATGCCTTTTAACTGTTTAATTCTCCAATCTGTGTTTGTGTATTTTTAACTGGCCGCATTCATTTACTGTGTCCGCAGTGATAATGTAAATGCTTAGAATTGCCTATTTGGGTGTTTCAAGCCATGGAACGGCTTTTTTTAGTGTCCGTATATACAAAACCTCTCAGACCGAAGGATACCCGCTTCTGACACCACAGGATATCACAGACTCGTAAAGTAGACCTAGATTTCGCAATACGTGGACTGTTTTCAACAGTCCAATGCCACTCGTTACTGACACAAGTCACTCTAAAGCGCACGAAATATAGATTCGGCTTCCAAAAGAGATATCTGGCACGCGCAGCACTGAAGTATAAAGACAAGATGAATTGGTCGTTCAACGCATTCCCGAACATGTGTTGCTTGTCTGAATACTGAGAATAGAGAGCGAGAAGATAAAAGTCTGTGTTGCTCCATCGTAGGTGGATCAAGCACGCGCGCGGGATCACGTCGCTGATCCATGCGCGGTGGCAGCAAATTACAGCTGCGCTACATCTTACCTGGGTGCGATACGCTCCCTATACCTGTAGTCCGCAAAGTGTGCGTCAAGGAATCTATTGAATTCTGACACCGATTTCGCCTTGACTAGCGTCTTCGGCAACTTGTTCCAATATTGCACCACTCGATGCTCGAATCATAGAGGGTGAGTAATGCGCTTTAATTTCGGCACCACTAGTTTCTACCGCTGTCCGCGTGTACTGCTTGGTGCGCGAACGTTCAGCAGCCGCCTCAAGGTAAGGAAGTGGCCCAGGTGCAATATCCCGTGCATCATAATGAGATCAACTGGAAGCCGACGCTATGACAGGGTATAAACCCCTAGTCTCCTACACCGGTCCTCATACGACATACTCCGTAAACTGGGGATGGGTCGGGTAGCTACATGCTGGACCCATTCCAGTCTCTGCACCTCACCTGTAGTGATCGCACAATAGGCGGGTGAGCCGTACTCAAGCACCGGTCTTATAATGGAAGGGAACAGACGGGTGGCAATCTCTTCAGACCAATTGCGGAAGCTGTCCAAAGCAGGCGTAGTCCGTTTGCGTACAGTCTGTTCGTGTTGCCGATAGATTTCAAATCACAGCGTGAGAGTACGCCTAGGTGCTTTATGGAACTAGTGGGATGCAGCGGGTGGCCGATTAGTGTGTACGCATGCCAATTACCATCCCTCCTCAGGCTCATAAACGTGGATTTGACCTGGTTGACCGGTAGGTCAACTTCTGCAGACCACCGGGAAAGGCGGTCGTGATCGTGATGAAAGACTTCACAGTCGGGTGAATCAGTAACCCTCCAAATCTTCAAGTCGTCTGCAAACAGTGCACAACGCGACCGAGAAAACCGAGGCACTTCTTTTACGTTGATCAGGAATAAAATTGGCCTCTGCACTGTGCCTTGGGGTACACCGCTAGTGGAGGGGTAGAAAAAAAGAAAGAAAGAAAGGTGTCAGCTTATACGCCGTAACGGCGCTTCGCTGCCGCGCGACCACCACTAGTCGCGCGCGGGCTGAGTATACCGCGAGGACGCCCACCCCTACGTGGAGGGGTACCAGTCTGTTAGGTGGTCTTCCACCTGTACCCACCATCTTTTCTTAATAAAGAAGTCACTGATCCACTGGTGCAGTGCGTCACCAACTCCACACATCCTCAGCTTGTGGAGCAGGACCTCTTGGTTCACTTTATCGAAAGCCTTACTGAAATCCATGTCGATAACATCCACTGACTTCCCCCGGTTCAACGCTTGCAACCATTCCTCCGGCGTCAACAGTAGGTTGATAATGCAAGAGCGACCCTTCATGAATCCGTGCTGTGTCGGTGTTAGATCTTTCGACTTCACCAGTACTTTCGTCAAAACGGTGGTGATACAAATTGGCCGGTAAGTGTCCGCGTTGCGTGTTTCCCTGCCTTTTGGAATGGGCTTTACTACCGATCATTTTCAGTCTCTCGGCAATGCACCCTCGGACAGCGATCTGTTGAACAAATCCGGCAGGTTTGTGCTATCAAGACTGGCGAGTAGACTGCGGACATCTTCACCGCAATCCAGACTCCCAAGTTCAGTAGGGCTTGCACACCTCGAGCTCGGCATAGGCGCATGCCCACTTGTAAATACGGAAGCGAAGTGCTCCGCCAATGCAGACCTGCGTTCAGTGCTTGAGATCAGAAGCTGCCTGTCAGTGCCCTCTAACACAGCCACGTCACTTGCGAGCCGCAGGCGCCGCGTCGCGTAAACAAAATTCTCCTTGGAGGCCGTCTTTGCTTAGGTTGCAAGATCCCTTTCGAACTGCCAACGCTTTTGCGCTGTTGCATAGATTCCGCTGCCTTTTTTACGCCTCATAATCGTCGGCAGAGCGAGACACGAGGAATTTATTCCCTAGTACGCGTCGCCGTCAAGCCAATTGACCATACTCTCTGTTGGATCAATGTGGCTTCACTGATCTAGCTTCTTAATACTTGAGGGGTACGAAACGAGCGCACAACTATTGCACACCCACTTTTATGACAGACCAACTGGCTTCAGCAGATGAATCCTGCGGCAGTGACCAGTGTACTTGACTGGCGACTCTACTGAGACCATCGAAATCGGTCTTCCAGTAATTGTAGGACGGCTCTTTCGGACGCGAGTAGGGCAGCGGCAGCTGCAGGCTGGCTAACACCATCAAGTGGTCAATAGCTGCCAGTGGCTCCCGGAACTGAATTTCATATACACCTTGATCGCAGCTCGTTAGTAGTAGTAGGTCTAGGCATGATGGAGCGGGATGCTGTGTAACGCGTGTTGGTTAGCAGACGTGTTGTGCTGCGCCAGTTTCAAATACCATCACCGCAAATTGCGCCTCGATTTCACAGTGCCCGTGGAGAAATTGAACCTCAGGCCACCGTATTCGAGGGAAGTTAAAGTCGCCCATAAACCAAAAGTGGCATGCGGCAATCAATCCAGGCATCGACTACGAGAGCTACGATAAGCTGCACCCACAAACAGTTCAACCTGTCTCAGGCGAATGGAGCACCATAACTGTTCGCACATGCCATCTTCTCTGCGGCAGGTGTGTACCAGTCTCCCGCACAGCGAGGACCGGATGTATAACAGCACGCCGCCTGGATTGTTTGATAGTCTGTCGCACCGGAAGCACAAGTAGCCACTGGTCTGGACTTCCTGGGTAGTGACATCAGGATTTAACCAAGTTCCGGCCAGTCCCAATACGTCCGGACGAAGAGAGGCAACGAAGTGATACACATCGTCACGCTTGTTCATTAAACCACACATTTGTGGAAGCTACTCGCTGGCTGCAGTAGGAACCGACGGACGTGCGCGAAGCCTCATCGGCCTGTTGATCCGGGCTCGGCGGACCCGGGGAACTACCCGAAAATTTACAATGTGGTGATAGTTTTTCCACTATCAGTCCGCCACTTCACTTTCTCTGTCCGACGAATCCAAATCGGGATGAATATAGATCTTCAGACCTCTTAGCCTACCGAGGCGGGATACTATCAGCCTCGGACTCGCTTCATCAACAAACGTAACTCGCAGACCCCGTGATTTCCCCTCCTCTGCCCTTCCAAGATGGGTGCTTTGCTTCACCCGCAACCTCTGTTCATTCACTTCGAGAAGCCTATCAATCAGGTTCTGCAGAAAATCCACGTCAGTCATAACGGGTCTGAGGACTAGCATCCGTCGACTCAGGCGCATGAAATATCATATTACAGCTTCGGTGCTTGCTAGAAGTTGTCTTCTCCTTTTTGCTTCGCTGCGTTCTCCATTGGCCTTCGTCGTCTGCGCTATCGCACACCGGTATGTGAGCATCTGTCTGACGCAACATAGGCACGCCAGCTGAGGCTCCAGCAACCGGTGGACATCACTCTGGAGAGCCTGCAGCCGGGGAGCAGGTGGGCTCGCTTGTACTTAGAAATGACTGGGTTTCCGCTTGCTTGAATGAACCCACGGAACTCTTCTCTTCAGAACGTTTCGCCAGTTTTGTAGACACGCGCTCGGTTTCTCGGCTGTTTGTGACTTCACAATGGCATGGCATTTCTTGCACACTATTTGGACGAAGTCATGTTGAATTTCACGCGGTTGTTTAAAATGATCTAAAGACAATCCAATACACGAAATGTGGAAATTCACACGACACACAAGGCACGTAACATTATTGGCTCTATGCTCAACTATTTTGTAACAAGTGCCACAGGGAGTCGGCTTCATCCTTACAGATAGCTTAGCAGGTGTGACGGTATTGGTGATAAGTTGCACGATAAGTACAGTATACAAATACAACAGTAAAACATGCGAACACAACACTACTACACAATAAATAGATTCAGAATCGCAAAAGAATCTAACTTTGACTGACATAAACACGACATGTCACAAGACTCTCCATTAGCATTCCCTGTAGTACCCCGTAGCGGATCACACACATTGCTTTATTTAACAAACTTGCATACTTTTACACTGATGACTTCAGAGCTTAACCGATCGCATTGAAAAACGATTTTACACTGTTTTCTTGCGCCATCAAATGTTCCAAAAATATTCCACCTTTGATACCTTCAACTCTGCATCACCTGTTCTGAATACTCTTTACTTTTCCATCCCAATAGTCGTTTTTATTCCTGCTGGGGCTCATCCGATTCTTGTTGTTCACTGTTGACTTTTTTCGCTTTATTCAGAATCCTCTCCTGATTTGAATGCGTACTGCACCGAACGAATGACGTCAAATGGGTTGATTGACGAGGATTTCGAGCGGGAGTTGGGTTTTGCGTCCCGAGTACGTCCCCCAGCACAATCCTTGTCATGCTATTGTTGTGCGATTTGCCATCTTTCTAGCTTCTTCAATCAGATTGTTTCGAATGCCCACTTTTCTTGCTGACTCTACACGCTAACTGTTTCATTGTTATGATTTTACCCTTATGTCAGTAATACTAGAAATATGGGTACCAACAGGTATTTTTGCGTTTAGCTCCCTTCTAGTCGGCCCGTAGCCTAGAGGTAAAGAGCTTTCCCCGTAACTGCGATGCGAATTCGAATCCGCTTAGGGGTGGGCGTCCTCCCGGTGTACTCACCCCGCGTGCGACTGCTGGTGGTCGCACGGCAGCGAAGCGCTGTTACGGCGTACTGCTGACACATTATTATTATTATTATTAGTGCTGAAATGCACATCCACTCTTATATCTTTTGTGAACTCATCAGAGATCGCCGTAGTTGGTAGTGCAGTTATACGTCATAGTTGTTGACGGGTGGTGCCCTCATCAATGGATCCTTGAACCCCGCAGGCAATGTTTGATTCTTGCGGTCGGAAACTAATCCTTTGCTTTTTCTAGCAACCCCTGTGTCTTTGCATTGTGACAGGTAATCCCAATGATGTGCGCAGTTTACTTTGTAGTGAGCCGGTCCCGAGCTCTTTGGCCGCGTCCGAAGTTGGGAGTTCCGGTGTTGCTCACCCCAATTCTGGCACCCCACAACCCGTTTTCTTCTTCGTCGCACTGTTACAGTACTTTTATCCGGAGCTTATGGAAGAACTTGACACGAAGTATTTGGTGGCAACCGATATCATGATGATTAGTCAACGTGCTGAACTTCATCCTCTGCTGTTGCTATCTGTCTCCGGAATGGGTGACATAGCCGATCATCTCCTATGTTACCACACTCATCCAAATGACCGAGGTCCATGTTAATCCAAATTAGGATTTATGTCACACACTATTCCTTGTGTTACTTAAGGGTACATTTTTATTTGGAGGTCAATTTGAACAACTCACGCCTGCCCTTGCACGAAAAGTGTGGTGTTGTATGGTGTCTGTTCATTTTGTCCTTTGCATTTTCAGAGATTTGCACGTGATTTCATTTTAAGCATTGTGTCCTCACGGCTTTGAATCCGGTGTATTAATGCTTTTCTATCTTCTTGTGTGTATCTCGTACACGCAATGTGCATATGTGTGTGAAGCATTCAGGCTGCGTAACAATTTGTTGGAATCTGAAGCCACGGCCGGTGGAAACTTAATGATGACCGAATGTGAGAAGGAAATTGTGATGGGGCAGTGGAGAGTACTACTACTACTAATAATAATAATAATACCAATAATAATAATAATGTGTCAGCTGAACGCCGTAACGGTGCTTCGCTGCCGCGCGACCACCACCAGTTGCGCGCGGGCTGAGTATACCGCGAGGACGCTCACCCCTACGCGGATTCGAACCGGTGACCTTATGGTTGCAAAGCAAACGTGCAGACCACTCGGCCACTGGCCGACGCAGTGGGGTTGTTGACTATCGTCGATTGTAGACCTTTGCTTTCACCCTGGTATGCTCATCACTCAACGCCAACATGTCAACCATATATGGAGTGGGTCTTGGTCGATGTGGTCCCGTTTTCCCTAACTCCACATCTGATTGCCTCTGTGGCTTTCTAGTATTTTTGAATTTTTCCTTCACTGTTACTGGAGTTGTAAGCAATAATATGGAATTTCTGATATGCCCTGTTTACTGAAGTAGACATTTTGTCCTTCATTATTTGTCTGTCCCTTTACTTTGTATGCTTGTTTCGAAAGCCGCGCCAAAATAGTTGCTTCATTTCTGAACTACTGAAACATGAATGCGATTTGGTGCGAATCATGGGAAACAGCAGTTACAGGAAACGAGGCTCCAGTTCTTCCAATCGTGTTTACATGCTTCGTCCTGGTTAGATTTGAGTGAATATGACCTAATTTGGTCTTAGTGTAAAACATATTTTGAAACTTTCCTACACATCGCTGAGATTAGTGCAAGTTTCCAAGGATGGGAGCTACAGTGATCTCAGACTGGTAGTACTTTGCATTGATTTGGCATGATGGACGACACGGCTATCTTGATTTTGACATCTTCATGGAACTGTTTGGTTCTGGGTACTTGTTGAGTTACTGGCTCTGAGCAACTTACAACAGTACCCTGAATACTCACTTTCCATTCACTGGTACATGCAATTGTAGTTTATCACATTGCGACGTATGATGTTGACATTGTTTCACATTGATGTGGAATATGATTGAAACACGAAAGGAAATTCCCGATGAGATTAAACCGGGACCGGCACCGGGCTGGTTGCTGAATAGTTCGTAGAAAATCTCTGAACGCATGAGTGCCGCTGGCTGCTGAACTAGATGGAACCAGAACGGGTCCCACATCATTGTGATGACAAGTGAGAGGAATTCACCGATCAAAACGTTGTTTTTTGCAATGCGCAACTTTTACGTCCTCCAACGAGAGGCACCTCTGCCCATTTTATTTACCTTTTACTGTGGACCGCATGTTCATGATATTCATCAGTATGACTCGCCATTTCCATTCTTTCCGAGTTGAACTCTTTACCATGTCAGTTGTTCCACTGTTTCGTGCCCGATAGTCTTGTAGTAGTCATCTAAGAAACAGCCTTATTTGTAGAGCACGCTTCTCTCTAAAGCCAATCGACTTTTGTACATCGGCGCAGGTGTTGCGCTTTTGGTACACTGAGCTAGCGATGTTTTCAACTTCACTTCCACACAATGTGTGGTCAATAAAGCGAGTAATGGTTTCACAATGGCAGGTACAATTTATAATCAGTCAATCCGGACGTCAGGAAATTCTCACGCTACTAGCTGGACCGCTGTTCAGGATTCACCAATTTCGAATCTCCATGGTATTCAGCTTCAGGTTCCTTATCGCATCTTGTTTCTTCGCTGCCTCCGACCATCTCGTTGAACTACGCGGTTCTCTTCTCCGCGGCTACATTGGAATTAGTGCTTTATTGCAACGAACCACGTGACTCTCTGCACTCGCTTTCCTTGTTCGGTATACTGCAGTCGCTTAGACAACATAGCAACATGCACATGGTCTTCGATCCGTCCTATCTATTTTTCTCGTTGCCACTGGTTACGTATGCTATCCTCCTTCGAGAAATCATGCCACATTAGTTTTCTATTTGTTTCTCTGCTCCATTGTGAAAACGTGTGACATTCGGTGTCGTATCTTACTCCTCCATAACACACTAATGTAAGCTTAGTTCTGGAATTGTACCACACACGGGCTGTTTCCTTGTTATCATGCTATCTTTCGTTATGTACAGTGTAATATTGCACCTTCGCGCAACAAGGCACTTACTTATCCTAGACCTTTTTCTCGAACATTAACCACATGTCACTGCAAAAGGAATTAATGTTGCTGATTCAATAGAAATCTTCCTTGATCCATTAGCTATGTAAGTAACAGGTTGTTTCTTCTTGTCGAGGACTGTGTAATCTTTTTAGGCTCCCTCTTCTACTCTTTCTTATCCTGGATTCTTTGCACTCGCTGGCTGTGCCCCTATATTTTGCCAGCGGAAACTTATCTTCAAGTGTCTCCTACTCCTACCAGCGATTAACGTAATATGACCTTAATTTAGAAGCCTTTCCCTTTCTTAGATCAATGAAGTAATTAACTAAATAAATAGTTTATTATCGTAGTCACGCTAGTCAATTACAGAATTTTCTTGGATTTTTACAGAGACTCGTCAAAGTTATCTTGAATACTGACTGGAAAGTGAGGTTTGCCGGTTGTGGCTTCTCATTTGACTGATTTTAATGCACATCACTTCCGAGTCCTGGCGGAACAAAACCACCGTCCATTGCTTTCTGGGATAATCCTTGACATCTGACCGAAGGCAACTGTGATGTATCGTTCGATATTCTCCTTGAACAGTTGGCTGTTCAGCCAACTCTATCATATACAACCCTTATGTAGCGTTGATCTCATTAGTCTAGTCAGTTCCTCATACGTTGTGTGTTGCAAAGTTAACTTGTAGCTTGTCCCTGGCCTACCAAGCATCGCTCAAATTCTATAGATCCACCACTTTTGTACCGTTGTGGATCATTTTTAGAAATTCATTCAAGTTATGTCAGTATAAGTTCGCCTGGGTGCACTTTCAGAATTTTACGATAGCTACTGCGGTTGTTGTAAATCAGCATCATTAAGAAAATTCAGAATTGTAATAATGGAAGAAATGACATTAGCGGCACATGTGTCATTCAGATAAAATGCCTCGAGTCTGCATCCTGTTGACGGTACAGTATCGAAGCCCAGTATGTCGACCTGGACGAAGATTTCTCAAGTGACAAACGCGTTTTAATAATTTCGCATGGTGCACGCGGTACGACAAAGTTCATTTCCGTGAAGAGTCTAAGTAAAAAAATATGAAAACATATTTGGTGAAAACGGATAACTCCGCAGCAGATACAGTAAGGACGATGTGCCGGGGAAGTGACAGTAGCCGAACCATTGACCATCCAACGAATTCGCGCTAATTCCCACTCTAAATCACGTTATTCACTTATCTGACGGCCTCATTTCGTGCATATTGACTATTGACCGTTTAAAGGCGGTTGATTTATGTGAACGAAGTGTCATCTATCCGAAATGTCTTTTTTGCATATATCCAATGGCTGGTAACACTATGTGTTACATTGTGACTGTGCGTCTCTGTTCCCCTTCCGAACATTTTGCCCTCACCACTTCTTAACTTCTCCGTTGTTTGCTTCTTCATTCTTTCTTCCGTTGATGTCGACCCGTTTCTCTCATGGCCTTTTTGTTTACTTGTCACTGTATGGAACAGATCGATTGTTCTCAACTCGCCTTAGTGATGGAACCCTAATTGCAATCCATGCATGCGATTGAGTAGTGGCGGATGAACCATACGATTTTCGCGCTAGAACTATTTCAATACGCATCATTTAAATAGCAAGGTTTCACTGATCATGTGCGTTGCACGCACATTATTGCTAGGTGACATTTACAACAAGTAGATTCACGTGTTCACATCGTAGCTCCAGAACTCATGGCTTGCGCCTAGATAATCGGATTTTTGGTGATTCGCTTTTCGCTTACTCTCAAACAAAGCTGCGATTCGTCCCTCCTGTTCATCTAAAAACGTCGATTGTTTCATCGGATTGTTTGTTTTTCTGATGAACTGTTTTTCGTTGATTACACCAATCTCTTTGCTCACTTTCACGCATTTGTAAATAAAACCATGTTATGTTTCCACCGTAGGAGTTAAGCGTCCAAGATGTGATCGACTCGGATTTCGCGGACATCTCAAGGTTGGGCCTTCTCCAAGTGGCTGGAGATGACAAGCTGGGTCGTAAGGTTATCGTATTCTCCGCCTGCAGATTACCTGCAGTGGATTTGATCGATCATCAGCGGCTTCTGCTGTAAGTATTTGACATGTCTGCCTAAAATTTATCACATTTTCTTTTCTATTTTTTATATTTTCCTTGTCCGATCTGACTCCTGTGCTGTGCTCACCACGTCCTACCAATCGAAACGATAATTCTGCTACTTGCATGTACTTTCTTTGGTTTATAATCATAAAAGGAACCATAGAGTTGAACGTCTTCCATAGAGTTATCCACTTGTTTGTTTATTACTGACACTTTAATTTAACAGCTTCATACCTCTCAACCTCAGCTCCTATCTGCGATAGAGGGAGGATATCACGTCGAAGAAGCCTTTCGATCAATTTATCTCACCTTTAGAATTCAGCCTTTTGTCTCTTTACCGGCATTCCTTTACATCTTTTACTTATGTTTGCTTAGAGTACCGGGTAAACTGAGATTTTCAGTCATCGGCTTTTGCTCCGTTGCAGTCACCTATAGGAACTGACCGAGGTTGCCGCTTTGCTCCATTACTGTGTTTGATTACTGACCACAAAAGTATTTGCCTTCCTCCTTATTTCTCTACGGAAAATGTCTTTAAGTGATTTCGCTTTTCACAGTTTATAAGTTGTAAGTGGTGATTCGTTTATTCAACAGGCATCAATCAATTAAAACGCGCTCGTTTGTAACTTTCTATCTAAGCTGTCCGATTCGATTTGTTAATAACTGTATCTCCGCTTGTAATATACCGGTTTAGCCTGTCTTATTTTCTGTGGTTTTACGGGCTATTTCACGTTGGTATAGATTTGATGAAGAGGTTTCCATATATATATATATATATATATATATATATATATATATATATGCAGACCAAGGTCTCGGGATGACACTTTCACTTCGTGTATACTTTCCGGCTACATACATACAGATTACAGGGTTCACAACAAGGTCACATGGAATCGATTGGTAGTCAACATTCTCCTAATTTGTTCGCCATACGCTATCACGATAGGCCTTGTGTCACTGTCTGCTGTCTTTGGACACATAGTGGTGGGCGCTATCGGTCGATAACAGTGGTCTCGACAACCTTGCGAATGTGGGGATTTTGTCTGCGCATAACGACATTGAATGATACATCGGTGTTCATCAAAGGCTTCGTGATTGCTGCGACAACCTTGCTTCTCCATCCACCTGGTGTGGCCTTCACGTGTTCCGTACGTTAGCAGAGCCACTTTGCAAGTACGTGGCCGAAGAGTATGCACGAAATGACAGTATCATCCCACAACCATATGATATTCTATTATGGAGAGCCATTCCATTGTATTCAGTCCACAACACTACTGACGATTTGCCAGCTGCCATGGACTCATCTTAAATGTCCCACCCAACTCTCTTTACTTACTTTACTTCGGCTAACTCCTGCGACAAGATGAGCCGGCTTCATGAATGTCACGGATTGCAGACGCCCAAGCGCATCGGTCAACAACCAGCTCTGTGCTGGTCCAGTGGCAAGCGCCATCCTACCCAACGTAGTTTAATGGACCATCTCACCACACTGACTTTATCGCGGCGGCTTTACGATGTCGTTTTCATCTGGTTCTCGTTTATATAAACACTAACGGAGCAGAGCCCTCAACTATACCTGGCTTGACTACTCCCTGCTTAGCGCATGACTTGACTGCTATTGTAAACGATTCTCAGAAGCGCAGAAACCATAAGTGACCGCAACCAGTAAACATCGTCTGTGTCCCCCTGCATGGTTGACATAATCACTCCGGCGTTTTGCCTCAGTACTGCTATTGTCATTGCTCTATGTCTGCTGGTGATTACCATATTTTTGGATCGAGTTCATAAACAATTGAGACAACACAGATGGTGACGGTTTTGCTAGACCTCAGAGGGTACATTCATTTTCATGCACTAGGCAGCAGAAATTTATCTGTGTATTAAGCAGCTGAAATATTTTCCGTAGACAACCTGTCATCTCCACACTACTCTGGTGCCGTGGCATGCTGTCAGCGACGCTACTCCATACTTATCCTTGTCAACCGCAATTAATTATCTCCCTCGATCACTATACCATTGATGTTTTCATTTTTACTGTTTTGTAACCCGTCCAACACTTTTCCTGTGTTTCTCCCCTTACTTTTCTCCAGACGATTGTGCTCCTTTTTGCTTCATTTTATTGCGCCTCATTGGGATAAGCAGCTGTCACATTTTCTGCCATCTTGACTACTGACCTTCTCCATGTCACTCTGCATTACCAACGGCGCTCCAGATAAGCTTTACCGACGTCGGGTTGAAGGTCAAGCGGAGCACATCAAAAATTCGGCCACCAGCTCCATTGACTTGCTCTTCATCTAACTGCAATTAAAGGTCCGATGAACTTCATCGGATCTCTTCATCCTTTTCCAAATGGGAAACTTCAGCTTCCTTTCTAATTGCGTTCCCTTCTGCAAAGAATTAATACTGGCGAAACCGTTTCACTTGCACTGAACTCAGCGGATGTACGATTTTTCAAACATGGTGGTTTTTTAATATAACAATCACCAAGCGATTAGTGCCGCTTGTTTTGTGGCCAACATGATCCCCGTCTTTCTTCTGAGCTGCTCGGTCTTGTTCGCCAACATTACACGTAGAGAACAAGATGCGTTTCGCGTAAGCGTTTACTGTACCAAGCACATCATTAGGGTCTACAGTGTGTACTCAGGCTCCGTTGAACGTCTGAAACGCTGGTTGTCGTTGCTTTATTCAGTTAACCGATTCGCACTTTGTATTTGCATACTGAGAAGACGAGTGTTTGCCAAGTCCGTTGACGCTCTTTGTGCCGCGGCGATCTTTTCCTTTCCGTTTCACTAGTGGAGTAAGGCAATACTGCTTAGCCTTACACTTCGATCCACACACTGCTTTAGGATCTGCACCCCAAACCGGTTGACTTAATGACATCTAGATGAATCCAAATGCCAAACCTCTTGACGAACGACCTCGCAGCATTCCTAGACTACATGCGACTGGTGGTGGTCACATGGCAATGAAGCGTCTGTGCGGTGTGCTTCTGATCCTTCTTTCTGTCTCCGTGTGGGCGCAATACATTGCCGTTCTCTGTGCGTCCATTATGCGTAGGCTGCAGATGCTTGTCTGGCATTTGGCTACGTCCTTCATCCTCCCCAATTGAAGCTTTCCTACAATCTTACTCATGAGTTGCTCCTATTGTCATGCATTTGAAATAACTAACTTATTCGTATACCCCTTGATTACTAAATTCAATCTCAGTGTTGTTCCATGGACATTATATCGAGCACGCACGCGGAATCACACCATCCGTTGCCGTGCCTTATCAACACAGTTGGACTGCACGACGTCCTGTTCAGCTGTGATGCGCGATATCCGTATAACCTTGCTCCCTGATATGCTCACAGGATATTCGACTCTTACTTGAGTTCATTTTCTCTATTTAACTGATAAGATGATTATCTGTGAACCGCTTTCTTCTAACTGAGTCTTTTAAAACTGCCAATCCTGCTCTGTCTGTCTGTCTGTCCCGAACGGTTATCTCGCTCTGAGCACTTTTCATCTTTCCGGTAAAGGGCAACCTAACGGTAGAGCTGCAATCCATTTTGCTTATCAGCCTTTTGTGGAGTGGTTTTTGGTTTACCTTTTCTACCACCCTCTGGCTCTCATCCAAGACGACGAAAAATTCGCCTTGGTGCAAAATCTGCGTTTCCATTTGCGCATTTCTTTCGCCACATGTACTTTTGATTGCACACCTTTGCATTTGAACTGCCTCATTGCATTCTTGCCATGTTGCTAGCATTCCGTGTTTTGTAGTCCACCAAACCCGGTTCATTTTGTGAAGTGTTACGCGAAGCGGTTATGATACATATCCTGTCCTCTACACTATTAACTCTGTTTTGCACCTTCACAGGTGGACTTATTTGCACCTTTCTTCACGGAACCTTTGGTTGTTTTTCTCGCGATAACGCGCCACCTACGTCTCAGGGTAAATGAATAGAGGAGTATAGTACTAGTCCAACATGATTGGTTCCGAAATAGAGAGCAGTCCGTTGTGCGTAATTTATTATGGATGTTTTTTGCATGCTCCGATACATGGAAATAATGATTGAACTCCTTATTACTTCCAACTCAGACGTAGCCTGATTCACTCAGATGTTGGACATTAAGGGGTTGTGCATCGTTGATCTGTTGGTGCTGTGAACGTTGGGTCAATTGTATCGACCACACATGCATCGAATTCACTAGCCCAGTGTGCTGGACCGCAAGTCGACTACGACGTAGCTTCCAAACGAGTTTACCCAACTAAACGTCATGCGTTCCACGCGCATCTGCTATCAGCTTACTCTGTGCATGCGTCAGTGTTATGGAAGTCTGCATCATAATCCACGAACCTACCGTATTCAACTATCCTGCATTTGGAAAAAGTGCACTGGATCAATAATCGGTTGAATCAAGCATTTTTGCTATACTTGCAATTAACCCCTCAAGAAAAGTGTAGCTGCGAAGAATAAACTAGGCTCCCCTCGGATTGTCGTCAACTAGATATGCTTGTCGCCATACTGAGTTATTAACCTGATTTAATCTTCCGGAGCCAAGATTTAGGTTCCCACCGTAGGCACCAATGACTAGGAGTGCTCTGGGCCTAAGAAACAGAATATCTCCATCTCTCAATGCCTTGCGCCACCGTGATTCTGCTTGAGCTTCTGCACAGCCAAATATTCTTTACTCGTGCTCCTGTGGTGCACGATACGTAGGTCGTACTACTAGGTGCCTATCTCATAGGATTCGCGAACACATCTCGAGGTCGTTTTACGAAGGTGAAGCAAGGTCTAGTAACAGCTCCACCTTGTCTTACTCTTCTAGAGTGCGGTCACGCAGGGTCGGAAAACGATTTCAAAGCCTTGTATACTATCCCTGAACGTTTCTCGCGCGAATTCCGGAAACATCTATTTACTGGGGAAGCTATCTAGATCCGCCACCTCAAGCCAGAACTGTGCGTACAGAAATTTTGTACGTTCTTTACTTCTACCGTGGCCTACAACTTCTGCTGTGATTTTCCCCTATACATACTTTGCCACCCTCAAGGACCCCGTGATATATTTGTTCCTGTTCTGATCAATACGCAGCCCAATCCGGCACATTTAGCACTTTGTCGTCATCATGTAGTGTTTGAATCTGATGAGAATTACCGAAAAGAATTCTTTACTCAGATTCTGCCTCCCTTGATTCATTCTAATAACTTCGCTCCACACAGGTCTGCAAATATTCCTTGTCAGCTTAGCCTCGAGAGAGCGCATCTGTCCTTTCATTTATGGTTTAACTTCTTTCCGACTACTACATGCTGTTTCTATTCCACATTTTCACCCGATGGTCCTGCTTGATTCCCGACTATTTTACTCCCTTTTCCTGGAATCACCGTCATTCCTGTTGACTGATAGGTTTTCACATGTTTTACGCTCCGGGGAGTGTCTCACTGTACCAGCGTCAGCTTCCATCGCGGAACCACGCTTCCATCACCACCACGCTGCTTGTTCTCTGATCCAGAATCGTGAATTCGCATTGTTTTGTTGGTCGACTGCAAGTGAACGAATCTTCGGATTTCAATGTGCTCTCCCTGCTAGACTCCTCGAGCTCAGATTACTACGACTCAGTGATAGATAAAGCATTTTCCCCTCAATTGTGCTGCGTTAGTTTTCATCTTTCTCATTTCTCTTCGACAATTATCTATTCATCTTTCCGCACAGTTACATTACCAAGACACTGGAGCAATATGTCATCCACGACTACTGTCTTATCTACTTCCACTGCGGTCTGACGAATAGAAACAAACCTCGATTCGGATGGCTCGTCCAGGCCTATCGCACACTTGACAGGGAGTGAGTTGCAGCTCTTTTGTTAGCCGTCTTTCCCTCACATATTGGGAACTTTTTAGCAATACCCTGGTATTTTGTATGTTATTTTCTCTATATCGTCTTAATTGTGTTTTTCCGGGCATCACTCTCATTGCCGTCCTTTAACGGTCATCCAGATCTGAGCGAACTGCATCTCTGACTGTGAAACGGAGAATGGAAAACAGTGTGGTCTATAGTTCTGCGCGGTAGACTTGCTTAGGATGCAGCGCCAAATCCATTTTGAAACCCTTTCAGCACCCACAGGAATATAGAAGAGTAAGTTTTGCGATGCAACGGAGTTCCATAAAGTTTCTTCACCGTCTATCTACTTTTATGGTTTCCCAGCAAAAACGAGCTTTGAGGTTGCTTTGAATAAGCTGGTCTAGGTTTCTGCCAGTGTATAGTAGCACCGGGACTTCAGCCATCTAAGCCGTGAACATTGATCCCGAGCAAGCGGTGTCCCAGCCGTTTGCTTTACTTGACCTTTCCGTAGGGGTTGCACGCACGTGGTTGCTCACGTGTATCCAATTCGTGTGGGAATAATGTCTGCTCTGGCCTGATCTGTGGTTATTGCATTAGCTGACGTGTGAAATCCTTATCAAATGGTAGACTATACGCAGTTAGTTCTCGAATCGAAGGACGACCATGGGTTTTAGTCTCGGAGAAGGAGCACACATCCATTCCCCAGGTCGGTCGTTGACTGACACGAGTACACACCTGTTTTGTAGTCCGGAAGTCACCGGTTCGAACCAGCGTGGGTGTAGGCGCCAACGTCCACGCCCGACTGAATGGTCGTCTAGCAACGATGCGTTAGTACGAGGTGCTGGCGTAATGCCTCTAAAGGGTTTAGTGTACATGTACTTTCAGCCTATCGCCTATTTTCCTTAGGGTAGCAACGTTTGACGCCGGGATATTTCGGATTTCCAGTAGATTATCTGGCATTGTGATCGACATCAAAAGTATGGTGGCACACCGTATCGACGCTCTGAGTCCACGCAACCACCACTGGTTACACGTACGCTCTGTTTACTGCGAGGTGACCAGCAGTACCTAGGTGGACACGAATTGGTGATCTCCGGATTGCGACACAAGTGCGTAACCATTTAGATCACCAGCGGACGTGGGTACAAATATTGGAATACAGCATATCTGCGGCTGTTGTGACACTGATGACTACAGAAGGTGTCTTGGGATGGAAAGGAGTATAAGAGCTGGAGATTTCAGCACTGGCTAGTCTACTCTTATCGTCCCTAACATACGCGATATAGAAGGGGCTACTATTGGAATCAGGTTACGGTTGACGCGGAGTGTGTGGATGAAATTTGATGTAATATTCCTTATGGTATGTGGGTCGAGATATTGCCGTGATGCCCAATCTGGAAGAGGTAACGATAAAGATCGTAGAGCCAAACTTGTTTCTAGAACCTGACCGCAAAGTAGCGGCAATACGGCTATGGTGATGAAATTTCGCTTTTTACTGGAGTAGGTACCGCTTCCCTGTATAATATCTAGACTGAAATTATGTATTTTCATCTAGATTTATTGATCAATCCATCATCCGAGCACATCATCTATATAGTTCAGTGGATCAGAGATGTGCCTTTGTCGTATGGGCAATTTCTACACACGTTAGTCATGGCTTTCGACATTGATACCGCCTACATGTCGTTCATTTTACACTCTCAACTCAGCTTTTGAAAGCATCACCACCAGGTGTGCGGCTTCACTGCCGTTGCGTTGTGTTCCATACCACGTTGATGTGGGCGTTCCAGGCAAGTTGTAACTATAAGACGTAACCCTTTCCAGTGTGCGCCTTCTTAACCCTCATGGCAACGAGAGATGGGAAGCGCGCAACTAGTACTCGATCATGGTGGCAGACTAACGTCGCTCACAGCTTGGCGTCACAAGCCGCCAACTCCCAATCAGAATTGTCATTTTACTCTCGAAGGAGTACGTTTCACTGACGAATTTTTATGGAACGAAATGGTTCTCAAGCGCCTTCCCCGTTGTGCCATTGGCTGACTGACTGGGTTATCTGCAGCGATTCTCCTCTAAACTTACATGAGGATATCCTTATCACTGTTTTAATGATGACTATCTCTGGTCAAGTTGATCCCATACTCCGTTGCCTGCCCGTTCTAAAGTAGTAGTTGTGATGCGCTACTACTGAGTATTATGTGTGGAAATGTGGAGGTGCATGCAACTCGGAGAAACCGTGAAACGCTGCGGACGAAGGACGTGTTGTGCACAAATCTACCTCCATCGATACGTTGCGAATAATATGGCGCTGCTGTAAGGTACTACAGAAGAAGTGTGCAAATGATCCCGCGTTTTTATGGTTGAACTATTATAATATATCTACGTGGTTTTCTAGGGCGTAACTCGTGTACACGGCGTTGCGTTCCCAACCGTACGATGACCGTCCTTATCCAGAAGATTGTGCTATGCTCGCGCGTTTAAGCCGCATCGGCTCCCCGCTGTTCAGAGCTACGTACTTTTCTGTTGCACAGACGTACATAATCTCAACTGACAATAATAATAATCCATCAGTACACGTTAGCTGAGGGTAAGAAACCCACCTCAGCTAATGTGTCACAATAATACGAAAGGATAATAGTAAAAGACTGCATTTCAATAAAAGATTCCAGGCAATTAAGTTGATGTTATATATTATATTATGCGTTTTGGACGAGATCGGACTTGGATGGGAAATCTAAGGAGGAAGGGATGGACAACACCATTGCGGCCGGCTTTTCGCCATATCAGCAAGTGTGTACAACCAGACGTGTTCATCGTCTTTAGGAGCCTAGCCAGGCAGTCGGGATACACCAACCGACGCCACTTTCGAAATGAGGATTTTCATTTTCCTCGACCAAGTCATCGCTTGGCCTCCCCGCCTCCTCTTCTAACTGCACTCCCGGCGCACCAACAATGCACGTAACGGGGGTCGGTGTGCTGGCATGCGCAACACGTGGCCCAGCCATCGGATCCTGGTGCGTGACATAATGCCGCTGAGCGGTTCACTAGCTCTTCCTGCACCAAATATGCGACGCCGAACACGCTCATTGCTCACACAGTGCTCCCACCAGACATGAGCTAAGTTGCGAAGGCAGCGATGATCGAATGTGACGAGCCTCTTTATGTCTGTCGACCTGATGGGCCAGCTTTCACAACCATACAGGAGAGTTGAAGGAACAGCTGCGTTATACACTCTGCCCTTCAGGGCGAGAATAATGTCGCGTGTGCGCCACAGGTGGCGGTGATTGGAGAAAGCACTTCAAGCTTTTCCCATACGGTTTCTAACCTCATCTTCGGTTCTACAAGCGCTAATATAGCTGCCTAGGTATTTGAACGACTTGTAGCTGATCACCATCAACGGTCAGCGTAGGGGTGGATCCCTGCCAATTTTGGAGAAGTACTTTGCATTTCGATGGAGCAAAGCATAACCCAAGCGAGAGATAACCGGTGCTAATCGGTCCGTTGCTGCTTAGATTGTTTGGGAGTCGTCACAGCTTATGGCAGTATCGTGCGCATACTCCAAGTCAAGAAGTCGCTCACTAGGAAGTCGCTCCACACCTTCTAGGTTGTGTCAAGTGAACGGTGTTTCCATGACTTCGTCAATTGCGAAGTTAAAGAGGAAGGGTGACAGCGGACAACCTTGTCTCACACCGCTGGTGGTACTGAAAGGCGGCGACAGATTGCCATAAACCACACTCTGCCCGAAGTATGCGCGTACAGCGGTTTGATAATGTTCACGTATATATCAGACATACCTTACCTCAGCAGACTGCCCCAAAGGTCACATCGATCAACTGTCGCCTGAGGCACCTTTTATGTCAAGAAACACGACAATGGTGGTTAGCCAATAAACATGGCGGTGTTCCAACAATTGACTCAAGGTGAAGATGTGGTCGATGCAGCCCCTACCTCGACGAAACCCGGTTCGCTCTTCACGGATCTGGCTTTCACGAGTGCTAGTCAATCTGTGGAGAATGACGGACGCAAACAATTTAGAGGCAATTGAAATGAGATTGTTCCCTCTGTGATTGCCGCATTCCGAACGCGAGCCTACTTTGAAAATTATTATAATGTTGGAGCGGCTCTAGTCTTTCGGGACAGTCTCCTCCTGCCAGAGTTTCACTAGCAACTCGTGTAAATGATCTACTAGAGCAGGTCTCCCGAATTTGAAGAGGGCTGGGGGAATTCTGTCTGCCATTGCGGCCTTATGCAATTTCAACGGCCTGATCTTACGTTCGACTACTACGTGTGAGGGCGGATCTACGGAGCCGGCCCAGGGGAATCGCGCCCAATGTCCGAGAAAGCAAGGGATAACGGGTTGGTTAAATTGCCTTGCAATGTATTCTGCCCAACGCTCCAAACGTTTTTACAGGCTGTGGATCGGCTGTCTACTCTCGTCACATATGGTTTCGCTAACACCAAGCCTCCTTTTGCCCCTCTCAAACGGAATAACACGATGATCACCAACGGCTGAAGCTGTTTCCATTTGAGGCACCATGAGACCACCAAGTTTCGCGGTCTCTCTTCAGCCTAGCACGCAGTTTTGCCCTGAAAATTTTTACCTGTCTCATTTTATTCGCTTCCAGCCGGAATACGTCGGCAAACATCCAAAAGTTCCAGAGACTGTGTAGAAACCCAATGTGCAGTTCGCCAATTTGATTTGCCACATGAAGACATGCCTGCTGTGATAGTAACGTTTGACGAATATGTGACCAGTGATCTTTGACGGTGTTCATTGGGCGCTTACTCAGTCCGGATGCCATCGTACTTTATACACATTCAGAACACCTGACTACGCCAGTTAGCTGCTGTCCTGCTGATGAGTACACAGTAGGCCAACGGATGCGCTCCAATTGTGTTGGACATTCTGAATCCGACTACTTTGACATACTTTTTCCTTTTCTGAAGTATCTAATGTATACACTTGAGACGTTTCCTTTATGCGTCTTGAAGCAAAGCGCAAGAAATCCGAGGTGTTTAAATGTTGTTTTTTTGCCGGGCTAGATAGTACTCAGTCAAACGTTTTGCCTTACCGTCTGCCTTGGTCGTGATCGCACTGCGAGGTATCATGGAATTTACACTACAATCTAACATATCAGTTCCTTTTAATTATTTAGATTCATTTAAGCTTGCTGATGTTTTTTTACTTAACCCCAGGATCCAGCAATATTTCACTCCTTGTCTATCGTATTCGTGATGTATCTTTTTGCGTTAATCGGTTTAAATCCTCCATGCAACTTCAGTGGAGAACATTGATGTTTCGCCAAATTCACCAGTACGTTTGCCAATGCACTGGACTTACATTTTCGGCTTTCGAAGCACGCGACGCAACAACTTTTTGGTCTTCTTGTTCTGTCTGGTCCTTCTCACTGGGTCGTTATCGTTACATTTGTTGCGTTGTTCTCGGTAACCCAGTGGTTTTGGCACCGACCTGTCGTTTCAAGTTGTACGATCCCAAGCGTATATCTCATCATAAATGGGCTTCGTGACAATATACGACCAGTATGTGGCATTCCTGTTTGCGCATTAAAGCCAATGAACTGTCATCCCTTACCCAGTCACTATCAAGTTCATACTGATGAAACATAATCTCTGCTGCCATCATACTGGTGTGTTCAAACCATTCTACTCTAACAGAATCGCCCTAATTCAATTGGATTGCTTCATTTGAATAATCCTCCAAATCGCATTTCAGTTCGTTCATTGGCCACGTAATCTCTCGTAAAACCAGTTGCCTTTTTCTTCGTTTCTTTCACTTTTTAGTTTCCGCAAAAATCTCAAGGCCCTATACATCGTCCATCCTACGATGGGAATCAAATTCCTGTGGTCTTTGTTTAAACCGTTTATCAGGTAAGTTCTTCTTTTCCGATATATAGCTGTGTTTTCCTCTCCTAACGCACAGTGTGACCACCACTTTGTCACAATCAGCCTTCCATTCGGTCACGAACTGGCACTTCAACGTGTTAGAACCGGTGCGTAGCGAATTGTCCATGCAGCCCCTGAAAGACTCATTCGCATTTGTTAAACACGAACAGAGCTTGAAAATTGATGGCAAATTGATTCTATCTTTCGACCTTGATTCACTCTTCACCAACGTTCCTTTGATACAGACCGTTACTTTCCTGTATGCTTACATAACCGAAAATATCATAGACTTCGGTATTCCAGCTCACAAACTAAAGTAACTAATTCTGCGGTGTACTTTCAACGGACAGTTCTTATTTGATCTGGTATATTATAGACGAATAGACGGTGTAGCGTTGGAGTCTCCTCTCCGACCGTTTCTTTGCGAACATTTTTCTAGCCAAGCTTGAACGTGGACCTCTGTAGCCAGTAATCTCTTCGCTGCATGCATTCTGAAAGTACATGGATGATACTCTTATTATCTGCGACTCAAGCATCCATGTTACTCGTTCGCTAGCTCAGTTCAACGGGACGCATCCTTCGCTATATTTCACCAGTGCAACTAAAATCGATGACAAGTTGGCATTCCTGGACGTATTGCTAAAGCGGTGTGAGTAGCATCACTTGAAGGAAGCGTATTCTGGAAGGCTACATTAGTACGTCAGTGCACCCACTTTCCACGTTTTGTATTTTTGCAGTACAAGCGAAGCTTGGCAAGTTGCTTGTACTATCGTGCCGCCTCAATCTGTAGCTCAGAGACATTGGGAAAGGAGAAGGACCGCACCTTTCAAACGCTGCAAACTAACGGTTGCCCCGAGTAGTTCATTAGAAGACACGCCACGGTCCATGTGCTCCAAGGAATTGTTATGGCTGCACAGAAAAAAGCTGTCTTTTTCTGAGTTCCCTTCACAGCTGATGTCGTTTTCGATCTACTTATCAGACGTCTCTTTACCGCAGTTGCTAAAGCCTACCCAGCCGCCTACCCGCGTGTTCTTGCTTTAGACGACTCCGTTTATCACCCAACGCCTTAAGGACAGACTACCAGTTCAATTCCAATCATATCATTTTACTTGCAGTTTACTTGCAGCTGTAGTGTAAGATGTATTAGACATACGACCAGACATCTGTCCAAACAGGTAGCAGAATATTGTCCGGGATCCCTACGAAAAGAACGGTCAGCGATCTTAATAGTTCTATTATGTAGCACCTATTTCAATGTGGCCATGAGATACAGGCAGTAGATTCATCCAGAGTCTTCTATGCCGTGCCAAAGCAATATTCAAAAGAGCTAAGCAAACGCATCTTGAAGACGAATGGAGCGACTGCAATCAGAATGACTCAGCCAGAATTGTGCAAGTAGAGCGCTTGTCCAAGCGCTCCTTTTACCATGGCTGGGTGGAAATTCCTCCGCATCTGACGTTGAAGGCAAACAAGGATGCTCTTCATCCCACTGGCTGTCACGCGACTTGACTTGAGTGGATCCATGTCAATCTTGATTGATTTGCCCGTCTTTGTTCAAACCACTTTCTTTTCTAACCTTAGTACTGCTTTCATTAGCACGCTTAGTTGATCTACTTCTTTTTGTAAATGTATTGCCCCAAGAGAGTAATCGAAAAGAGTGCGCCTGTTCGCAAATTGAATTTCTGCTTTTACAATCATTCTTCTTTGAGATCCACCGATCCGCTAATCAATCGTTGACTGATTGCTGTTTGCAGTAAGTTTTGTCGCTTAATTAAATGATGCTTATCTTCGACTTTATTCGACATTATGAATTATGGATGTTTCACCACATCGATCAACTCAGAACTTGTTCAAGTTGTGTAGGAACGATTCACAAACTGTTTGCACAGTTATCTTGTTACATATTCAAAGATTCTGACTTTAGCTGAATCGTTGCGGTGTAAAGTAGAAGCTCGCGTGGGCAAGCTGTTTTCTTACAAAAAAACCGACCTTTGATATTTTGAGATTGTTCGTGAAAAGAAATTCGCCTGTTGTACCCCTTCAAACGCTTAATCCACACCATTTCACAGCCAAGTTGATTGATTGGCTTACCAACATCCTTGAATAACAGAAGAATTTGATTGGTGCACTGCTGAACTTGCTTCTAGTATGGACCAGTTTGTCCTAACAATGGTATAGCTAATATGTTATAATCTATCATAGTGACTGGAATTGGAACCTATATTCAATTTCGAATACTTGAAAGAGGTACCATATGATTAATTGTTTTTTTATGGTGCTGGGAGTTACCCTGTTCGACGATTCCAACTCCGCATTTTTAGAAGGCGTAGGATTTGTTTAACACAGGCACTAAAAGGCGATATATTGTTACTTCGCCGTTTGTGTTGCATATTCTGCCAGTTGTGGGGAGCACGGGGTGTCATCGACTCGATTATCCCACGATGGACATTAAATGTTAGATCACAGTTCACATTCACCATAGATTCTTTGGGTAGCCCAGTATCGTCCCCGTCCATTGTGTCTGGGATCAATTGAACCTATGCACACAGGCTGCTTGATGTTGTGGGCGTCTGTTCTATGATTCCGGATGAGACCAGAGTTCAGCTTTTGAGAAAATCGGATACGTTGCTAGTGGCTCAATTAAGTACACCATTTCTTGTGCTGTTCCTTTTTAAATATCTCAGGGTGAGGGAAGTAGGTGGAGAGAAGGAACTATCGCGTTTGGTTAACTGGCACACGGGAAAATGCCGCCACTCTCTCCGACTTTGTGCTCTGACATCTTGATTCAAAGAGCCTGTTAGGGCGGAGAATGTATGTGTGGTGGTTGCGGCATGCCGTGTTCACATAAATAGCTCAAGTCTATGTTCCAGCAGCTCACCGACCGACGTGAACGCATTTACTTATTCTGATCCTAAGGTGTTGTTTGGGTATCCGCTTACGTATATGGGAAATAATCCTAAAGTTGGCTGGCATTGTGCGTTCCATGCGCAGGCGCATCTGATGCTGAATATGCACCCATGTATGAAGCGTATCAAGAATATCTTATTCGACTTGATTGCACAAGAAATGTTGATACCAGCTTTCAATGGATGGATCGAACAGGTATTTCGCCCTATACCGGGAAGCAGTTGGCTCCAATCGTTGCTTACCCCTTGAGATTGTTTAAGTGTTGGAACAATAATTTTTCTTTGTTTTACGCAGCAAAAAGACACACCTTCAGAAGCTTATTCCCGCTTTTCTGCAGCCTTTTCCACCCTCTCTTGCAAACCAGAATGATATACATTTTCTTTGAAATCTATCCTTTTAATTTAATGCATACGTCCAGAGCTTATGTATATTGTTTGCAAGGCATTTTGTATCACACCATCGCAATGAGGCTGGACCTTATTGTGGTGCGATGGTTTATGTGCCTCAATGATCTGTTGAGCTATGCTAGGTAGTGGTTTTGCACCTTCAGAGGCACTCATACCAGATTGGTCAATGGTTAGAGGCCAGACAAACTCAGTCTCCTGGCCCTCCAGGTTAAGGGTTGCAATGAGGGTGGCTCCTTATTCCTTAAAACGGACTCCTTGTAGCCCACTGCCGAACCCGCTCCCTTGCGGACAGGTTTTTAAACCAAAGGCTGCGGTTGAGAACCCTAATCGTTCTGCTGTCTAGGCCTGGGCAACCTGACAGTATCCTGTCCACGCAATACTATGCATCTCACTTCGAACAAATTTCTGATGCTCTGGCCACCGCAGAGGATAATCAACGGTGCCCTATCTGCTGCATCGAGCAGGGTGGATAGGGGTTTGGATGCTACTGCTCAAGCCTTCCCGTTTTCTTATTTCCCCTCTTACACTTTTTCACCCTTATCGTCCCGTTCCAGCTTCACTTGTATCCCCCCTGTTTTCAACTCCCCGATTCTCAGCCCTCCCCCACCTTGCTTCAATAGTCGCTTGTCTTTTAGTTTCAATTCACATGTGAACGCGGGGCGTCACTACTTTCCTGTCGACAAGCCCATGTCCAAGCAAGCGGTCCGTTCCAGTTCATCGGCTTCCATTTGGAGCCCTCGATCCTCCTTCAGATTGACATGCCTCAATGTGCGCACATTACTACAGACTGATCAACAGACAGCACATGCTCGAACATTAGAGACCCTCTCGATCGATATCTGCTGCTTATCGGAGACCCACCTGCATGACTCGAGCTCTGTGCTCACTCTGCGATCCCATTCAGGTGACACTAGCAGCACTTTCTCATTGCGCCTATCCGGTGACGATGCAGCTTCGAGCACCGGCCAAGCCGGTGTTGGTATTGCTCTGAGTCCCCGGGCTGAAACTGCTCTGGTTGATTAGATTCCAATCAGTAGCCGGATGTGTGCGGTCTGATTGGCTGGCTCGTTCAAAACTTCGTAGTCGCATGGGACTAGCAGGTGACTATTCGTTATCGCTGCCTATGCACCGACAAACTGTAGCGATGACTCGGTAAAAGACGACTTCTATCGTCAACTGAACGAGCTCCTTAGCCACAGAAGAAGTTCGGACACTGTAGTGCTGGCTGGGGATCTGAACGCTCATGTTGGAAATTTGTCTACTGATGAGCTGCATCTGGGCGGCCAACGTGGGATAGGCACCCGTAATGAAAACGGTGAGCGGTTACTTCATTTGTGTGAGGATGCTCGCTTATTTCTTGCGAGCACTAATTTCCGACACAGCACCCGCCGGAGGGTGACTTGGCGCCCACCAGCCTCGAACCAGCTATGGACGCAAATCGATCACATTGCGATAAGTTACCGCTGGAGAGGCTGCGTCCAGAACTGTCGCTGGATTTGGAGCACATGTGTGGACACCGACCATGCACTTGTATGTGCTGACCTGCGGATGCGCTTTGGCGGACGTCCGCGACGATTTTGTGGGCGCATTGACACTGGCCAACTGGCGAAACCAGCTGTTCTGAACGCCTATCAAATTACGCTGTCATCCGAGTTGGATAAACGCTCACTGGATGCAATTGAAGCTCACTGGTCTCATATGCAGCAGGCCTTACTAGCAGCAGGCAAATCCTCATGTGGTATGTCTAATCGCCAACATGGACATTGGGTCTCTTCACAGTCTCTACAACTTATAGATGCTCGCCGGCATATCTCGGCTGGAAGCGAACACAGTGAAACTCGCAAAGAGCTCCGGGCAAAACTTGGTGCTAGCCTGAAGAGAGACCGCGAATCCTGGTGGTCTCATCGTGCACCAGAGATGGAAATGGCCGCTGCCCTTGGTAACCATCGTAAGTTATTCCGTCTGATACGGGAATCGGGCAGCAGAAGACCTGGTGTTAGTGAAACAATTTTTGACGAGACTGGACAGCCTATCCACAACTTATCAAAATGTTTGGAACGTTGGGCTGAGCACTTTGAAAGGCAATTTAATCGGTCGGAATGGTTCGATTTCTCGCCGGCCAGTGATCGCCCTGCTCCGTGGGTTGTCCCTTTGGATCCACCCTCTCGCTCAGAAGTCGAACGTGAGATCGGACTGTTGAAGTTCAATAAAGCCGCGGGACCAGATGATCTTCCTCCAGCCCTCTTCAAATTTGGAGGACCTGCGCTTGTGGATGATTTACACGAATTGCTAGTTAAACTGTGGGAGCGGGAGACTGTCCTAACCGATTGGAGCCGCTACGTCATACTCCCAATTTTCAAGGGAGGCTCACGATCGGAATGCGGCAGCCATAGAGGAATCAGTGTGATCTCCATCGCCTCCAATATGCTTGCCTCTGTTATCCTTCACAGACTGACTGGCACTCGTGAAAGCCAGATTCGTGAAGAGCAAGCCGGGTTTCATCGAGGTCGTGGCTGCATTGACCACATCTTCACCTTGCGTCAGTTGTTGGAGCACCGTCACATATATTGGCGGCCCACCGTTGTCGTGTTTCTCGATACGAAGGGTGCATTCGATTCGGTGGATAGACTTGCACTTTGGGACTGTCTACTCAGGAATGGTGTACCTGAGAAATATGTGAATATTAATCGAGCATTATATGCGCGTAGCTTGGGCAGAGTGAGGGCTTACGGCAAGCTGTCGTCGTCCTTTAATATCTCCAGCGGTGTGATACAAGGATGCCCGCTGTCACCTTTCCTCTTCAACTTCGCTGTTGACGAAGTCATAGAAATCGCGTTCACAGGACACGACTTAGAAGGTGTGGATCTGCTCCCAGGCGAACAACTTCTTGACTTAGAGAATGCTGATGATATTTTCCTAATCTGTGACAGCTCACAAACGTGCCAAGCGGCACTGGACAGGTTAGCACTAGCTGTCCGTCACTTCGGGCTTTACTTCGCACCCTCGAAGTGCAAAGCGTTCCTCCAAGATTGGTCTGGACCGCCTCCTACGCTGACCGTTGGTGGGGATCAGCTAGAAGTCGTTGAGAAATTCAACTACCTGGGAAATTATATCAGCGCCCGTGCTAATGATGATGAGATCACGAACCGTATAGCAAAAGCTCAGGGCGCTTTTGCTAACGTTCGCCACTTATGGCGGCAGCGCGACATCACTCTTGTCCTGAAGGGTAAAGTGTACAATGCAGCGGTACGTTCGACCCTACTGTACGGTTGTGAAACCTGACCCCTTAAAGCAACGGACCTGAAGAGGCTAGTTACGTTCGACCACCGGTGCCTTCGCAATTTATCTCACATCTGGTGGGAACACCGCGTGAGCAACGAGCGTGTTCGACGCCTCGTTTATGGCACAGGAAAAGGAACTGAACCGCTCAGCACCGTTATTTCACGCATCAGGCTCCGATGGCTCGGCCACGTGTTACGCATGCCAGCCCACCGACTCCTGCGACGTGCGTTGTTTGCGTGCCAGGGGTATGGATTGAAGGAAGTTTGGCCAAGCGATGACTTGGTCGAGAGGAATGAAGGCCCTCACTTCTGAGCTGGCCTCGGTTGGAGCGTCTCGGCTCCCTTGTTGGGGTCCGAAAGACGATGAACACGTTTGGTTGGACACACTTGCTGATATGGCAATGAGCCGACCTTAGTGGCGTTCGTGCTGAGTTTCTTTGTCCGTCCCCATGTCTCTTAGTCTCCCCCTCCAACCACGATCTCATTGGTTAGCCTTATATAATTTTGCATAGTAATTTTTTTTGGTGCACAGCAGCCGGCTGGTAGCTTACCGGAACGATGCCCATTCGTTACCGGTAGCTCAGCCAGCTTGCACCAGTTGCTTTTTTTCTCTCCTTTTTTCTATGTATTGCGGCACAGTAGCTGAAGTGTTCCCCACCTCTGGCTAACGTGTATGATGATGATGATGTTTTTGTATTTCGCCACCACTTTACTTTGAATGTCGCCATTATCTGGAAACATCGAATAGACACAATCCGCGATATGGTGAATGTGGACGGTTTTCCCATTCGTCTCAAACATGTTCCGAGACATACCGTAGTTATTAAAGCGAACACTCAGCTAATCTATCCCCTCAGGGATATACTGGGTCACCATCGCCTACTGAGTTCACCGGAGTGGAACCCTAACATGGCAGAGAGTTGCTACTTTAAGTGATACACGAATTCCGTACCTCCCCTCCATCGACGCCGAATGACGGTGCATGTTCACCCATCGTTTGTTTGGTTCCTTTTTTGTTACAATGAGGATACGCATTTTGCAAATGGGTGCAGACCATTATGCAAACATCACTTAGTGCTCAACTTTATTATCGACAGGGGTGTTTTGGTATAAACGAAATTCAGCATAACTCGAGTCACTGATACGGCTCTCACACCAATCAGCACTCTACTACATCTTCAATCGCCTCTGTTCTCCAGTCACGAAACCGTCTCAGAATCCGGTCCTCAAAGGATAAAAAATAACTTCTCGTATCAGCCACGATATGTCGGTGTAGCACACCTTATTGAATCAGATGGCGTATGCAAACTCTCACAACTCTTAGAAATATGTTATCCTACTGTCCAGCCATCGTTGTGATGTTTTATGCAAACTTGTCTTTGATGTTGTCGGCCATATTCTATGGGACTGATTGGTTCGTAAGTAAGCCTGATCAACCAATCAGCATAGCTGTGTAGACTGATAATTTTGCTTGAGATGGTCGATTTAAGTTCGACGTATCATGTTTGCTTTAGTATGAAAAGCATTTAAGGTATACAGTCTTATTGAATGAAGCCCCTTGGGCATGGAGACTCGATCTGTCCACCATCATATGACATAACATCACTCGCGCCTTCCATCGTTTGCTCCCGATGCTAATGTTTTCATTTCGGCGAAGTTTCCATCTTATCTCAGTAGCTGTTCAGACCAGATCACCAAGACTCGTCATCCCTATAACCTTCGGATAGCGCTGCTTACTTATTTTGTATCTGGCAGGATGAGAGCTCCGGGTGACAGGATATTGGGATAGCAACCGACCACTGGGTTGTGTATATCATCTTCCATTTGATACAAAGCAGTCTTAGTCTCTCTGTCTCTTTTACTTTCCGTCTCCTTCCTCCATCTAATGGTACCTCCATCTTGTGACCTTAACGTGGTCCTTCAAGCTTTTTGACCTCGACTTTTATCTTTACTTTCTCCCTTCCTTCTCCTTCTTTTTAATGTGTCAGCTGAGTCCGCAGGCTCGGGTTCGAGCCTGGATATAGAGCCGGACGACCCCCTGAGTATCCGTAATCCACGCGCGTCGGCCTTAGGTTGCGCAGCAGCGAAGCGTCGGTACTTCTTACTGGCTTACTGCTGACGCTGAATCCTCATCACCTCCGTCCTCGTGTCATCGTTGTAAAACTAGGCCAACCTGTTCTCGGAGTTGAAGTGGCCGCGAATGCACTGCGCGCGCCGGAGCTTTCACGGTTCACTTTATCGCGTCGGAGCAGTGTTGTTGTTACTTCACAGGCTGCAATTCATTTGATGTCTACTTTTACTTAAGGCCCGTCTATTTCGTCTGCGCTCTTTTTTGGATCCTGCTGACATCTTCCCTGATTCCTTCCAGTACCATTAGTTTATGTGGCCAACACCTAATAATGCGCTTTCTCGTACATCCATCCAGCCTTTATTGCTTTCGGTGTCAACAGGGCGTTCTTTGTTCTTGTTCCCGACCTCTGTTTCGAGCTTCCCCTCTTGGCAGCCTTTTGAAACCGGTCGAAGCTGCCCGTTTCATTCGCCACTATGCTTTTATCGCATTGTCATGACTCACTGCAGTGTGTTGCAAGTTGTCTCTCTCTTTCGGCCAATTCACTCCTGAGATCACCGCGGGTTCTCACACTGTTGCATGCTCTATGCCTGTCTCCACGGTATAGTTCCTCCTTCATAGCGAAAAACAAAGCAACACCTTCCCTGCTCAACTACATACTGCTCAAATACATGTTCCGTTCTGCCTTCTCTCTCACTCAGCTCCAAAATGGCTCAAAAAGTTGCGTACATCGAGGAACTGAAGCAGTTGGAGGATGTTGTCTTTCTCAACCAGATTCCCATCCCACATCGCGTGTTGGAGTAAGTCCCTGCTCTCCGACACCTTTTCCCTGCTGCCGCCCTGGTTAGCAGTGTTACTGGATGTAATCAGTCGGTTACCGCAGATACACACTGCAAGCTGCTACCAACACCCGAGATGCGAATATTCGTTGATTGTGTCAGCAACTACTAGGTCTATTAACATACGCCTTCAATCACCTGTGAACACTGTCCTTTCTCCAGCCTTGCTTCTGTCTTTCTTCTTAGTATTCATCACACGTGTGCAGTGCTCAAGCGCCGTCGTTGTTTTAAGAGATTGTCTTGGTCCATAGTTGATCGGTTACCGTCAGGACTGCCCGATGCTCCCATACCGTCGGTTATTGGCGCCGTGGTGTCAAATCTTTACGCGCCACACAGCTGCCTCTTCTGCTCTCGTTTTCGGAGGTTACACTATAAATTACTGTTTTAACAGCTGACTTTGTGATTTCTGTGGATTACGCGCATGCCGTACGACATCCCTCGTCTCATTCATCCCCCATGCGACATAGGCTTAACACTTTCCATAACACTTTTACCTAACTTAACGGCTGTTCCACTAGTAGGCATTTTATACACCTGTCTTGTTTTCCACTCATCGATTAAGCACGGTGTCTGAAGACTGATGTTCACTAATGTGACGCTCAGTGCATATTCACTTGTCATTTTCTCGCTTTCCTTTAGTTTAATGGAAAATCTCATTTGAATCCCCAGTGTTTGCAATATGGGTAACATATTATCATCATATTCCCTGCTGACATCTCTTCGAATTCAGAGCCACCGTAACAACTGTCGGCTCGCATACTTTCTTACGCGTAGCTTTCTTTTACCCGGTGGTGTTCATTGTCTACGGATTTCCCGTAGTGTGCAACAGAGCGATCGCGTTTACACCCAACTTCGTGTCGGGTGTGGAATCCGCTATCCACTCCACTATTCTGAACGATCTTAATTGTACAGTGGTTAAAAATCCGCTCCCATTATTTGCCATTATTCGGAATTTCGTTGCTCCCCATTGGTTGCACACTCCCCCGCATCTCCCGGGTACGGTTATGCGCTGGTACCCTGTGAATTACTTTCTGTGGTCAGCGACCCTGTGAACTGCATTATTCGTGCCCTGTTTCCTTGTACTACAACACTATATCCCACACAGCGGAGGCGAAGCTGCACAGACCTTTTCCCATAAATCGGGCATTTTTTCTCCTACTCGGCTTGCATCGATGTCAGTCAAATTATGAAACGAGTCCAGTTATTATGACAGACACGTTCACTAACTGACGGCTGACATTCCTCAGGAGAATTTGTTTTTAGATTAGACTGTCCCATCACGATCATCAGTCAGAGGCGATTTCGTCCTTGTTGTCCAAATCAGCCTGTTTCATCTGCATCCTGAAACCAGAAAAAGGAACATTTCTTCCCAGCGTTTATGGGGCAGTGGAAACACTGGTCTACACCACCGGCTGCTAGTAACGCCCCAAACAAACCATCTTATGCGCTAACACCAGTTGTGGTGCTCGAATAGAGGTTTCATAGTAGAGTGTACCCAACATACTGCGTTTTTCTCGAGAAGTTAAGGCGCATGGCTCGCAACTAGAATCGTTGTCATCTTTTCTGCCGAATGACGAGGTTGTTTGCTTAACATTTACTGAGTAACCTGTAGGGAACGCTACCTTCGACGACCAGCAGCTGTTTGTGGCGATATAACTGCCATAAACGTGAATATTTTCCTAAAGTATTAAGGTTTTGAGTTGCGACCCATCCTTGTTACGATCACTGAGTATAGTACGCACTACTGATACGCTGTGATACATTACTTCCTTTGTTCTTTCTAATGGTAACGGAACTAAAAAATTTTTGGGGGTGTATGTGAAGGCCGGGGTGAAGCACCCATTCCCCCCCCCACCACTTCGAAGTCTTTTCCCCATCAGTCATTCATATTCTTCTCATTGTATAGTGACGCCCCATTGGCTTCCACCGGATATTTGTGATACTGCTATCCGTTTTCCTCTTCGTCTACGTCTGTCCATCTTTCTTTTGCGTTAGATACGATAAACTGGTCGGTGCCAAACTCAGGTCCATTCATGAAGCAACTGCGCCGTAAGTTTATTGATTCTCCTTCAAATGGCCTCCGTTATACGGTGCGGTCCTAATCGATTATTATGTATGGTATGGTGCGCTCTTATCTGCCACGAAATCTCTGGTTTTTGTACAGCTAAAATTGACCTGCAGTAATCTACATCTTTGCCTGGTAATCATATTCTCCGTGATCGATCGTCGCTGCGAACTAATCGCACTGAAGCCAACTAGGCACGTTTCATCGACCAAGCAAGGCATGCCGATCGCAGATATGCATCCATCCGTAGCCTAACAAATCCTCGACAATCTCGGGTTCCTCGTTTTGCCTCTATGCCATTTCTCAGTTGATTGCCTCCCTAACTCAGTCGCTTTCATCTGTAGTGCAGCAGCTTGCATCCTTATCAGAAAAAGAAAATTGCATCCGCGACGCCCTGAGTGGTCAACCGCTGACGACAATAGTCTGACAGTATGCCGGTATGACTGTTTCACATGGACGCAGCTGGGGCGTAAAGCCATCGGCTGACCTCATGCTATACGCATTTCAACCATCCACTCATCTATAGATGCGCACTAGCGTTGGTCAATACGATGGTGGATTACGGGCTTGCTGACGAATTGGATCCAAGCCACAAACCCTAGGATGCGAAGGTAAGGCGAAGTCAACCCAGTTCCGGACCAACGCAGACGTGCCAGTGAACGTGTCCCGAACACGTGGTCAACTCCCCATGGTCTGCGTTGTGAATGAAATCAAAACGATCTCACAAAGAGGGCTTGCGCGAGCGGACGGCATGGCCGTTTGAGGCGAGGGGACAAGTGAGGCACGCACAGTCAGGGTGAACAATCTTGATAGTTATGCAACATGTGCTCCCAGATTAAACGGCCATCCCGGCATATTGGCTATTGGCTGAAAGCGGTTGACCACTCGGGTCGTCTTGGATGCAGTCTTCGCGATTATCGGAGCATATATTTTTGCGTTAAGGATATAAGCTGCTTAATTACGGATAAAAGTGACTGCCTTAAGGATCAATCAATTGGGAGCTGGTGTTGTGTCCGTCAGATTGCGCCACCATCACGCCACTTTTTCCGCGATTTTTAACATCAGTATTCGATACGCTTTCTGGCTTTACGACATGCATTCAGCGTACGATAGTAGTAGGCTGGCTTGCCGAACAACCTCCTCGTGGTACCAGTTGGGTGGTTCCGGATTATCTCGTTCCAGCAAACCGTTCGGCGGCAGTGTTCCAGGATGTGATGGGTTTTCGCCTGACGAGCGATCTCTCTACAATATGCCACATATGTCCATTTAACAACACTGTTACGTGACGGAGGTGACTCGCCACTATATAAAGTCACTGCCTCTTGCTTCATACTGACGAAGCATTGTATTCCAGCAACTTAATGCCGCAATTGTGGGGAGCATTGGGCCTCTGTTTGGCAAACGAACATCCGAGAGACGTATGAACTGGACAATCAGTAACCGGCACCCGATGGGCGCGATTCCCTGAATTCGCTCCACTTCTTGCAGGCAGGTCATTCGGCCAATGGCTCGGGGTGGTGTCCCAGAAGTCAACCCCCTACTTCGGCTTGGACAACCGGGTAGTACCTCGCCCTCTTATAAAACCATGAACTTCTCCGTGTTGTGTAGTGTATTTTTTAAAACCATATCTGTACCTTCCTTTGATTTCCATAGTTTTCGTTGATTCCTTGCCTAATCTTTGACTGTTATATATATATATATATATATATATATATATATATATATATATATATATATATATATATATATATATATGGGCGGCATTCGGTTTCGGATTTGCCTAACACTGTGGCCAGCCACAGGACGCCTGCGCCTCCAGAGGGATCATAGGTGGCTTGTGCTGCACCACCCACAGCTCCATCCACACATCCCATGTCCAGTGTAGACCCGAAGGAATAAGACCGGGAGGCATGTGGATTGGAGCCACGTTTCATCAACAGTGTCGGCTCGCACTTCTTCCCAGGCAAACACAAGCGCGCTCTATTTGGGAATCAAGCGCCCACAAGGCGGTGGCTGGACTGTAGTCCGCTCCACACTGAGTGCATGGAACCAGTCTTCGAACCTAGCATGGCCACAAAGAGCGTGCACCGCGCCCCCTCCAACAACGACCAACTGTCTCCTTGAACCAGTATGGACGGGGCAGTGGGTAATAGACAGGTAGGCACCTTGTCAATGTGCGCATCAAACGCAGCCACACCGGGGATATCAAGCAACAGCCAATCATGAATGCCGATATCGTATATGACGACATAAATACTCGCTAAATGAGCATATGAAGTTAGTTTTTTAGCAAAATCGATACACAGTGTCCACAAGTCATTCCAAAAATGCCACCAACGCGATAAACTTAACGAAGATAACCACAGTTAACGTAAGAAACGTGTGCAAGTTACTGGAAGATTATTCAGATAGGCAGAACAGACCAAATAAAATGGAATGAAATTTATCCAGTTAAAAAAAACAAGTTTAACTGTAAGCTTGTTAAGCCCAAGGGCGGTAAAGAAGCATCATGGATGATATATATATATATATATATATATATACGATAGATAGTAGTATTGACGCTTACTTTATAGCCTGTCTCCGCCGACATGGGCATGGTTTTCCGCCTGGGCCCAAGCGTGTCGCGCGACATTCGCTGCGGTGTTGCATTGGTACACACAATGAGTTAACGTGAGTCTAACGGCCGGCTCAGTCTTCCGAGAATTTTTTGATTTACCTTCAAATACAGTGTTGAAATTATCCACAGGCTCTAGAGATCTCTTGTTCAGTGAGCTTGAACTCCCGGGGCTTAGTGGTGCGGAATTGCGAACGTTCCATTGGCAGACGGCCTGTTAGCTTTTTGTGTTCGGGTAGAATTCACCAAACACAAGTGAATAGCCATCAGGAGTGACCTTAATGGTTTACGCAAATTTCTTAGACAGCGGACTGCTCTAGTTATTCCAGTAATCGCCAAAATTTCGTACTTTTCCTTCCGGTGGACATTGTAGCAGCAGCACCAACCCTATACCTTCCTTTTTCTTGCCAACCATCATAGCTGTTTACTCTAGCGTGACACATCCCAGTTATTACGCCTAAAAATGCTCAATCGCAAAAACATCTTTGATTTTGATTCACACTGCTCGGCCGGTGGACAAATCGACGCTTTGCATTTTTTCCCATCTTTCACGCTGATTGTCTACTTTGAAACCTTGTTCCGTGACAAAGTTCACCTATTCCATTTAAGGCGATTCTAACGGTCTAAGGTTGACTGTTCTGAGCCAGATTATTTATTGATCGATGAACAAACAATCCATCCGAGTCCTTCACTGATTTCTTTCATGGTTTTTCTATCATTGTCATGAGTTTGCTGTACTCGATCGGTTTCGTGAAACCAACGAGTCTACTTTGACGGATCGCTTCATTGCGCCCAGTTGAGGTGAGATTAGCTTGTCTACCGCATGTGCTATCGCTTACTACCCGAAGCATACCGTTCCAAACACCAGGCTATCGTGGTGAGATAAGGCGGTGTCGGCGAGACAGCTTCCTTGCGTCTTTCACTGCCACGCGTCATAATCCGGCATTACCTCGCAGGTAACTCAGCACCGAACACACTTCAAACGAGCAGTCCGACTAGGAGACGACAGCAAACACAGCACTGGTCTCGACTGCGAGTCATGTTCTGTAAAGTCTCCAGCCAAGCACAAGGAGAGTCACATGGACTCCAGCTCGGACCGATGGCACCGAGTTTGGGCGTCATTGAATTCATTTCACACTGCCAACTCAAATTTCGTCCACCTCGAGCCTTGCGCCACTCTATATCTGGCAGACCAAACAAAGCCCTCCTAGGTAAGTGGTGTCCAGGCATACGTAGTAAGTGCCCAAGCAGACACAACTTATTCAGTGCTATCTGTTGTTCTAAGGAACTAGCTTGGTTATCATTGCCTAGCACTCGCCTACGCACATCATCGTCACTGACACGGTGGTGCCATCCGACACCAGCAATGCTACACAGACAACGCTGACCAAAGACTTGAAGGCGCCGTAACTCCTCAGATCGAAAGGCTCTACTTCTCGCTCCCACAGAGTAGGACAGCCCTCACTGTGGTCATGTACCAAATGGCCTTTCAGACTATTAGTGGTTATTAGGTCCACCGGGATTGTACGCATTATATTTTCGATCGGATTGCTATCCACCGCACCACTACTCCACGTTTAACTCCAATCTAGGCGCTTGTTGATTTCCGATACGGTATGTATCGAATTAATTCTCATCTTAACCATACTCTCTTGTCAGTCAAGAATTAATATTCACACATCCGTATCATCATCCGCATTCTGAACTTTCGCTTCATTGTGTTGTGACGAATGGCGCTCTACTTCAAATCCCCGTTTCGTGTCACCCCAAGTGATCATCTAATATTTCTTTTTTATTATTCTGTTTTGAATCTAACATCCCGTCCTCTTTTTGGTCCACCTGCTTTACTTTAAGGGCACACAACGCTGGCAATCTGAACATCGCTCCTCGGCGGACCGACATAGCTTCGGTTATTTCCGGTGCCTTCGATGATCAATACGAAGACGTTCCCTGCGAACCGCAACAACAATTTAACGTCTCCTTACAGTTGTAAGTTTCCCACTCCGGTGCTCATTAATAGCGTTATTCTCTTATCAGACCCGTTATTTTAAAAACACTTACTATCACTAATCATATATATATATATATATATATATATATATATATATATATATATAGCAGTGTATGAACCGAGGTTGGAGCCGTTGAGTACACTGCTCGATGTTACTTCAGGCGCTGCCGATACACAGACTGCAGATATAATGCTGATCTGGCGGACACACTTTGCTTGCCTTTTAAACAACCGTTCAAAGCTCGACTGGACTGTGTTACACGGGCTGCAACAATAAGAGATAAACACGTGTCTTGCCAACACACCGACACTAGATGAGACGCAGACAACACTAGCTCAACTGCGAAACGGCAAATGTGCCGCTGCTTGAAACACGGCGGACTCGCGTCAGTAACTGCACTGCACCACTTGGGGTAACGCGTGTGGATTGAGGAGGTGGTGCCTCTTGAGCTGTTGGATGCCAGTGTCCTACAAAAACTAGGGAAGCAAGTAATGTTGCACGAATTATCGTGGTATCCACTTGCTAAGTTGTGTGGGCAAGGTGGTTGCCCCATATTCTGCTCCACCGCCTCCTCAGTCAGGTTTTGGAACCGAACATGGCGGAAAAGCAGCACGGATTCCGAACGGGTCGCAGCATTATAGATATGGCGTTTGCGGCTCGTCAAATGAAGAAGTGCAGTGAACGATATCAGCATTTGTACTCGCTGTTTGTTGCTTTCACCAAAGCACTTGAGACGGTGAACCGCAAGGCATTGTCGCTGGTGTTGGGTAAGTTTGCTTGTCCGAGTAAGTTTGTAAGTTTAATGGAATGTCTGCACAGTGGTATGCGAGCGAGGGTGCAGCTGAGTGGAGAGACCTCGGATGACTTTGCAGTTGTCTGTGGTGTGAAGCGAGGCTGTATCTTAACTCCCGCCGTGTTTAATATTTATCTCTATGCAATGATGTCTTGTGCTTTTGATGCCGCTTGTGCTTACGGTGTTCGTGTGGAGCACCGTATTGATGGTGGGTTACTGAACATCCGTCGTTTCGGTGCGAGAAACCTAGTGTGTGAGTCAGCTCCCCTTAAGTTGCTGTTTGCTGACGACTGTGCGTTATTTACGCACAGTACGGATGAGTTGCAATACATGATTAGTGCACTGGCTTCGACAGCGGCCACATTCGGACTCACCATCCAAACAAACAAAATTGTTCTGTCTTCTGTCTGTCTCTCAAATATTGCCGCAAATCAGCATTGGTGACGAATATATATATATATATATATATATATATATATATATATATATATATATATTCGTCACCAATGCTGATTTGCGGCAATATTTGAGAGGCAGACAGAAGACAGAACAATTTTGTTTGTTTGGATGATGAGTCCGAATGTGGCCGCTGTCGAAGCCAGTGCACTAATCATGTATTGCAACTCATCCGTACTGTGCGTAAATAACGCACAGTCGTCAGCAAACAGCAACTTAAGGGGAGCTGACTCACACACTAGGTTATATATATATATATATATATATATATATATATATATATATATATATATTTGCAAAAGTCTGCTGACAGACATAATGCCATCAGAAACCATGGGATTCAAACGAAGGTACAGAAACAGCAAAATAAAACACAACACAACAATGTCCATGGTTTCCTCAGAGGGCAAGATACTACCCGGTTGGCCAAGCCGAAGTAGGGTGTTGACTTAGGGGACACCACCCCGAGCCTTTGGCTGAATAGCCTGCCCGCAACTCAGCGGAGCGAATTCAGGGAATCGCGCCCACTGGGAGCCGGTGACTGATTGCTCAGTTCATACGCCTTTCGTTTGTTCCTTTGTCAAACAGGGGCCCAATGCTCCCCAGAAGTACAACATATGGTTGCTGGAATACAATGCTTCGCCAGGATGAAGCAAGGGGCAGTGACTTTATTTAGTGGCGAGTCACGTCCGCCACGTCACAGTGTTGTTAAACGGACATATGTGGCTTTTTATAGGGAGAACGCTTGCCAGGCGAAAACCCACCACGTCCTGGAACACTGCCGCCGAACCATTTGCTGGAACGGGAAAATCCCGAACCACCCAGCTGGCACAACGAGGAGGTTGTTCGGCAAGCCAGCCATTGGTGACGAATTCTTGAAAACCACTCACCTTTCTGCTACCTTGGGAGTGTGGTGTCTACTGACCAGCAGATACACAGTGAGCTTCGTATCCGCATATCGAAGGCAGCGGCAGCATTCGGGAAGCTTGAGTACCGAATGTGGAATAACCACCAGCTTACCATTGGCACGAAGTTGATGGTCTACAAATCCATGGTGCTGTCCGTTCTTCTATACGGCAGCGATACGTGCATCACGTACGGGCGAGATGTGAGATATCATCAACAGTGTCTGCGACGGGTTCTGTGCATCGGTTGGTGCAATAGAGCTGCAGACACGGTGGTGTTGTGCCGAAGTGGAATGCAGCGGACTGCATACTATTGCTGAGACACTTGAGGTGGCTCAGTCACGTGTGCCGTATGTATTTGCCCCGGATACCAAAGCAGCTATTATATGGTTGACTGATTGCATACAGCGACACGTGGGAAAACCAGGACACGATCAAAGTCAGCCTATCACGTTCTAATCTTGATTACAAATGTTGGGAATCGGAAGCGGTGGATCGGCGGGCATGGCGAGATCTGATCACGAAGGCAGTTGCCGAGGTACATGCATGCCGAGAAAAAGCACTAATTGCGGAAACGACAGGCGCCCATGGTCTGTACTCGATCGGCGTCGGGCGCATGCGGTCACGAGTGTCTGAGTCAGGCAGGTCTAGTTAGCCACGAGCCTGGCCACTCGGGACCAAAATCGGAGCTACGACGGGTCCTGCTGAGAAAGTAAGCAGAGCCGTCACAGCGTTGGTAGGTACGCTGCATTCGATTTACTAACCGCGTGCTGAGTTTATTTCTGGTAGTGGGTTTGCTATTGGGTATCAATGCATATCTATTTTACCTCAACGTATAGCTGAAGTTGCCCACGTTGCTTAAGCTATTTGTGATTAGGTTCGCTAACATTTTCGCATTTGTGGCATTTTAAGGTATATTTTCTCTCATCTTGAACTATGGCAGATTGTTTGGTAACCAATTTAATACGTAAACTTAATCGGTGTAGATTTAGGTCAGTATTTCTCTATGCCTTATTATTTGCTATTCTCATTTTAAGTGATTGGCTGTTGCTTGATATCCCCGGTGTGGCTGCGCGTAATGTGTATATATATATATATATATATATATATATATATATATATAAACATGCTTGGCGGCATCCCGTATCGGATTTGCCTGTCACTGTGGCCAGCCACAGGACGCCTGCGTCTCCAGAGGGACCATGGGTGGCTTGCGCTGCACCACCCACAGCTCCAAACACACATCCCATGTCCAGTGTGGGCCCGAAGGAATAAGACCGGGATTGATGCGGATAGGAGCCACGTTCCATCAACGGAGCCGGTCCACACTCCTTCACAGGCAAACACAAGCACGCTGTATTTGGGGAATCAAGCGCACACAATGCGATGGCTGGACCGTAGTCCGCTCCACACTGATTGCATGGAATCAGTCTTCGAGCTTAGCACGACCACGTTGACCGTGCACCGCGTCCCCTCCAGCAACGATCAGCTGTCTCCTGGAGCCAGATGGACGAGGTAGTGGTTAATAGGCAGATAGACATCTTGTCAATATGTACATCAAGCGCAGCCACACCGGGGATATCAAGCAACAGCCAATCAGAAATGCCGATATCAAAGCTATCGAATAAGGTAAACGTATATGACGACATAAATGCTCGCTAAATGAGCATATGGAGGAAATTAGTTATAAGCTAATCCACGATAAGTTATTTAAAAAATACCACATGATAAATTTTCGCAATTGTACCACAATTAGCATAGGTGACATGTGCAAAGTAGAAGATTATTCAGGTAGACAAAACAAACCAAATAAACTGGAATGAAATTTTTCAGTTTACAAAGACCTAGTTTAGGTGTAAGTTGGCTTATCCCAACTGCGGTGAAGAAGCATCATGAGTGCAACATACATACCTACCTACCAATATACCGCAAGCACTTGGTCGTCAGCGGTCTCACCTGACACTTGGTATTTTAATCATTGTTGCACGTTTATAACTGATGAGATAGCAAGAAATGACGACAACATCTTACGAGTTACCTTTTCTGGTTTCCAACGTTACATTATAGTTACTCATCAGTAGTGAACAACTAAGGACTACCAGTCCTCAAAATGCTGTGTGGATTCACGGAACTGGCGTGGACGGCCAACCACTGTCCTCTGCACAAGCCGTAACCTGTATGGCAGTGGGAATGAGTCGGGCTATATCGCATTTAGATTTCAATCCTTGATGGTCGGCTGTCGTACCCCATGGCACAGTTACATAAGCTGCTGGCTGGTGTTGCAATCCACCGGCGGTCATTAGTTCGATCCACAGCAGAGGACCGAGGGAAGGCGCAGCACTGACAAGCCCAATGGGGCGAAACGATCATCTGACGTTTTTCCGCTTTGGTAGCTTACCGTTGCGACTTGGTATCTAATTGCGATGAGTTAAATGAATTACACTTACCAGCACACTAAATGTCCACAGCTGTATAAAGTATAATCTTTTAGCTTCTGGAATCAGAAGAACAGGTTGATGAGTGTTACATTATTTTAACTGGTCTTTTCTACACATGAGCTGGTTCCGTGACACACTCCTGCCTGATCGAAACTATGGCGCTCTTGCTCTCGAGCATGTGAAAACGCTTGCTTTTAGAGCCGCGTAATTTATTCTCGTGGACTTTTGTGAATCAGCACTTTTTTACCTCGCTTGTTTTTTTCCACATATTCTCCCGTCATTAGTATTAAGATGAACAATGGAGGTCGGACCATTCCGGTTGTCGTGGAGGATGCGGTGGATTTCATCCGGGAGCGCGGTGAGTTACACCGTCGATTTTTGACTCTATTTCCGCTATCAGACTGATTGCACCATTTTGGCCCCATTCTGTTGTCTCTGCCCACTGAAATTCTCTCTCGGATCAGCCATGGCAACGGTTGACTTATTGCCGTAGAGTTGCTGCCACACTTTCAGCATACCTTTGTTACTCTTCGATTCCACGTCGGACGGTTCCTTTCCACGATTTTACATTGTGGCGGCTATACAACATGCCGTTTGACAAGTTACACTTTCCCAAATAACAGCGGATAAAGCCTAAATATGTCTTCATTTCTTATCCCGGCCCGGTTACCTTAGGATTTTTTGTCTACCTTGTTTTTTGTTTCCACTCTTTAGTACCTACAATACCATACCAGATAGTCTAGTGTCCACCCAGTTTCGAGGCAAATTTCATGAGCGTTAGGCCGATCACTTGCTTTTCAGTGTATTTGCATGTCCCTAGGATCTGTGCACACTTTTCACCGTCTCAGCTACCTTCGGAAACAGTCGTCGTATAAAACACTGCAGTTCCAGGGATGTGACCCTGCTGCGCGTGGCGATCAATGGGTTACCCGTTCCGGTCACCACCGAGTGAGGTCCATCTGCTTGTGTTTGACAGTAAATATGACACTGAATTTTGGGTCATCTTCCGACTACTGGGCCACGTTCCCCTCATGCCATACTGTTGCGTATCTCGCCTGTCTGATGTATAAAACACACGGATTTCCATTGGATTGGGTGGAAAGGGGCCCAAATAAATTAATCACTCGCTAGATGGTGGCCCCAAGTTTAGTCACCTTGGCTACACAATTCAGGCGCTTTCCGTCATCCCGAGGCGTAGGGGCGGTTTGCCGATTTTATCTGCGGTCCGTCCGCTCTGATGACAATACGTCAACTGACGGTTTTGACGTTTTCCAAACGATCTTCAGTTAACCGTTTTGCTATTTTATTCGCTGCGGTGTTTCTGAAAGCAATTTCTTTTTAAAAAATAACATGGAGTAATTTGTGTTGGATTAGTCATGTACTACATATGCCTGGCAACTGCTTACTGGGGATAACCTTTTTGTTTCCCGGATGTATGATGGCACAAGGCTCGTAATGGACGAATGTTGACTTGGTAGCTGGAAATGAAGTCACTTGCAACCAAACTGGATGCTTTTGCTCCGTCCCGTCTTCCAGGTTGAAGTCTGCGCGACCTGACTTTGCTTGGCTCGAGACGTTACAGGACATGACTGGTGGTCGGCACTAATGATGCTTTTTCAGTCGTTTAATCGGATTACATGTTTGTAGTCTATCTGATTCGAAGTTATCTACGGGATAACGTATGAATGACACGGGGTGGTGAAAGCCGCAGGGAAGTTGTCTTACCGAAGTCGCCTTATCTTTGCACAATAGTCAACTGTTTGTGACGGTATATTGCTGACAAAATGTATGAGCCTTGGCCTCTAGCTAATAATAATGATAGTAGTATTTATAAATCTTTTTGTTTGTACGGCGGCGAAGCATCAGTTCACAAGGCTGTTGTACTGCTGCTGTTGTAGTAGTTTTGTCTTGTCTGTCACATCTGCCGTGCTCTGGTTGTGGCTGCTTAGCTGTCTTTTTAGAATCTCTCGACCCGCGGCCTAAAGGATAACATGCCCGTCTTATAGTCCGCGGGCGCGGATTCGAGTCTGCGTAGGGGACCGTGCGACCCTCACAGTATCATTAGCCCACGCGCGACTAGTGGTGGTTGGGTAGCAGCGAAGCGTCGGTATGGCGTTCCGGCGTACCATTGATACCTTAATAAAAATTAAATAATACTCTTTCAGAATCGCCACTCCTTCCAGCTACGCTGTGGGTCGACGGAGTCATATTGTTTACTTTCCATCACACACTGGGACTTGGTTGTGCTCACATGCTTCTCTGTTGCAAAATGGATGCTACATGCCGGTGACATCAGGTTCCGCTTTGGTAGCCCAGCGATTACTTTGTTCGGCAGTAGTCAGCGGTGCCTTTGCTAAGCTTAATCTGTCGGTTTTTCTTGTTCTCTGATTACTGACTATTACCAGTGTATTGACCTCAGCTAAAGCCAATTAGACTATCGCACTTCGACGCACGGATTGTAGTTGAACAATTACACTGAACTAGATGTTCCATAACCTTTCTGATCCTTGTGTGTGTGTGTGTGTGTTGATCACGGCCAATTGATGTCTCTGGATTCACGGGATGCTCTTCAGCTACCGGATGCGTTGCGTGCACAGAATCATTGTCGATTTTGTAACTCATTGTAGTCCTCCCAGTTGGCTATGGGATTGAGAACAAACAAATATAACTCCACATTGTCATTCAGGTACTATGACCTGCCCAATACGACGATCATAGGATGCTTTACGCAAATCTCAAAAATATGCAATTTACCTATACTGTTTCGGGCCATACACACAGTTCCATCCCGTGGCTCTTGCACATAGACGCCGGTCGTTACTCCGTTTCTGCTGATATCTCATTTTTCTTCTTCATGTACTCACAGAAAGAAAGTCATCCATCTTTCGAATTCCTACTCGCTTATTCGGACTACCGCCAATGGTGCCCAATTTGGGACATTGTACAATTGACGATATGAACCAAATGTCCACGGTTCACTGTCATGTGTCTAACTTGCTTCAAACAACTGGTCTCTTCACAACCTTGCTTTGCTCAGCGTTGACGGTTGATGCTCATGTCCGTTTTCTTCTCTGCGCACTGTGATATCTGCGCTGTCTCCGCGAGGCATTTTGCTGCACTAGGTGTTGCCATAGCGATAATCACCGTTGACAAATGTTGATACGGTTGCATTGCATACATCGCTTGCACACTCCATAAAGATGGATTAGATTGCACATTGGTATGGTGTGAAGGCAAGATCATTTTCTGCTGAGCGCATTCAACTATCGATGTTCAGAGCGCACTCGTGGTGACCTTAGCTACGGTCACGACGATTACAACTGTTGTTATCTTTTCCGTGAGTTGGGTGTGATGAGACGGTATTACGTCTCCATGTGATATCCTACCCTAAGTTCTGCGCAATCGTCTGATTTTTGGGCTTTAGTTTCTGCTACTGACACCATCATGTAGTTCTGGAAGAAACGGAGGGCGGTCCACGTGATGGAATACAGGGAGCTCACATGAGTGCATTGTAATGGGTATATTTCTCATCAAGTGCGGACCTGTGTCCATATTTGGCAAAGATCACTTATTTATTGGCTAATATCCTGCTTTTGCGATTGTGTTCTTCTCTGTGTTTCTGGCATATTTGTTTTTCCCGCTAAACCTAAGCACGTTGTTCCGCTTTGAGGATATTGTGGACACTGTGGGCTGCTTACATTGCGTGCACTTCCCCTATTTCCACCATTATATTTTACCCGAGTCCTCATTAAATTGATCGTCTGCCAATTTCTCTCATGTAAACAAGGCTATAATCGTATTCATTGCTAAGTAACTACCGATTCTATTGATTGTGATTGGAAGCCGATTCTACATAGCAGCATATCTACTTAGAAAGAAGCTGTACTGCATATTTGTCCTGCAGGGCAAAGTTTTTGTTACAAACGTCCAGAGTGGAATTGTGCTGCAATTATAATGTGGGTAGATTGCAATAAGTAATGCCATCCGATTGTACAGCAGTATCAAGTTATGCCTTAATCTTCGCAGCCAAAGCGGATCGATATGGAGTTGCTGGTATCGTTGTTGTAGTATCTTTAGAACCCAGTAGGTAACTTTGACAAAGAATCAACTCACGAAAGTGACGGCCATTCAGTCGTCCTACAAATTGTTCCTTATTTTAGGCCGAACCGCACGTTCTTGGTGGCATCTCCAACGAGTGCGATCAATTGAAAGAAACGGGAAATGTTTAACAATGTAGGCGAATGATATAAAGACAACTATTAGCGACTAAAAACGTGCGCGATAGAAGTAGAATAGCATTTAAAAGTGGTCGCTTGTTTTGCCTTGTAGAGTAGGTCGCTGGTCCTCGTGTGAGTCAAATCATAGAACTCCGAAAGCTGTGTCCTGCGTTTCCCATATATTCGCATCTCGCGAGGTATCGGAACGACGATTAGGGGCTACCACTGTCGTTTTACTTAACTTATATCCCGTTGCTCCTATTATCTGTCTTCAAAAGGCTTGCCACATGTGCCTCTTTCATTGTGTGAAATTGTGCACGTGGGGACTTGCAGTACGACATTTTTTCGACTTCCATTTTTCACATCAGGCCGAATACAAAATACTAGTGCGGACTAGTTAGTCTATGCTTAACCCATAGCATAAAATCCGATTTCGTCCTGTCTGTGGATGTGTATTTATGTGTTGATATAGACGAACAGTCGAAACGCATCTACGATGCTTTAACTACGATATCCATGGCGCATAACTTGAAAAACAAGTTTGCAGATCAGGATCGGGGAGGAAAGTCTATCAAGCCACACTGGTTATACCTTCACTTTGAAGCTTCCCACTTACACATGAGAGCCTCAAAATTTAGCATGGCCGAAGGGGGTAGCAACTAGTGAGTGTGGAGACTACCGATGGGGGACTCGTTCGTCTTCCTCTACTGAACTCCCATGGAGATATTGGAGTTGATCATTCCAGATTCCGTTCAGCTGTACTGCGTACACCAAACTTCAGTGTACCCAGATTTCACGTGCACCGTGCTCCCACACAACGGTAGAGTCATCTCCCCCGTTCACAAATCCTATGTGTATCTAACAAATTCCAACTCCATTCTTCACTCTGCTCAAACTGTGCGTTAGCATCGCAGCGAACGCAATAGTGCCGTTACGTCAGGACTGCGTGATCGTTTCTATCACGAGTGCGCACCACGCCCCAGTGCATGTGACATGAGTTTTTGTTTCCGTTCCCCACCTCTTGGTTCAGCGTTCCGTTTTTCTACTTTGAATGCGCTTGTTCTCCTCATCGATTCGGTCTGCATGTTTCGCCGCTATTCCTACGGGGTTTTGTGAAATTGTCTTAAAACTATTCGGTTGGTCTAGATTCATTTTACTGAAGCGGGTTCTTCACTTTAACGTGTCCCCATTCTTCGCCCAAATCACACCAATCTGGCGGTCTCTGCATTCGTATTGCGACAGAGCGCATTCAAATTTGGTGTTTTTTCAATCTCACTGTTTAAGGTATGGATGTTGAATGGATCTTCCGGCGTTCCACCAGCGTCATCAAGCAGCGCAGTGTTCAGGAAGTGTACAATCGGGGTGAGTCACCTGCCTTCATCGTCCTCATCGCTACAGTCAGCATCTTCACATCTCTACATGTGCATCAGAACTGTAGATTTTCAGTAGATTTTCACATCAAAAACAAGTATTTCCTATCAGTGGTTTGAAAAGTACATTGAGAAGCCAATTTTCACCATATGCATGCATTTCATATCGTTTCTTCAATGCTGCTAACGGTTATTGAGAGTTGCATACAATCGTTATAGGGTGCAAACATGGCTGGTGGCATTCGCTTCCGGATTTGCTTGTCACTGAGACTGCGAACCTCCACAAGACGCCTGCGCTTAGAGAGAGACCATTGATGACTTGCGTTGTAGCACTCACGAAGAGTCATCAGCACTACCCCGGCATACTGTACCGACGCTTCGGCGCCACGCGACCACCACCGGTCGCGCATGGGTCGAGTATACCGCGAGGATGCTCGCCTCTACGCGGATTTGGACCGCTAATCTTAGGATTGCAAGTCAGACGTGCAGACCACTCGGTCACCGGCTGACTAGCACTCACAGTTCCATCCACACACCCTGTATCCGGTGTAAGCCCGAAGGAATAAGAGTGGGAGACATATGGGTGGGAGGATCATTACGTACATACAGTGTTCCAGTCTCACATATTGTTCCATGGGTGCGAAGCAGCTGGTTGTTCGAAACCTTTCTGGTTGATGTGGGTGTACATGACAAACCATAGTCATTTTCAGCCATCTACACACAGCTGGACAGTACTGGTTTTGAATTCATAAGGATAATGCGATCCTTTGGCGTTTGTTCCTATTTACAGCTTAGGTTATCTTTACTGGCTCTTCACTGCTGTGCGGGTCGCACGTCGTATCACCTGATCGGTTTATTACTCTGCAGACTCGATCGTGAAGCTGAAACGAGGTGCACCACTTTTGAGAATTGAACATAGCGACCACATATGTCATGCAACAGATTAGCGGTAGAATGATGGATCACTCAGCATTAAAGATCCTACCATTACGTCCTGAAAAGTCTCGTTCGCTGTCTCTTGCGATAACTCTTTGTGGCCAGACAATTGCTGCAGATTTTGAATCCTGTCGCTCTGTGTTTTATACACTAATGAGTGCATATCTGGCTACCGCATTATGCGAATCGTGTGGATGGCGATCTCAAAACCTGTCACCGCAGATGTGATTCCGCGGAAATTTAGGTGGATCCACTGTCTCCGGCTCATCATCTTCAGGAGTCAAGGCGCTGCTTAGTTAGTAGCGCTTTGCACTTTGAACGCGGCAGGTGCATGCCAAAGATTGCAGAACATTACAGAACAGGCACACAAAACAGCGAGACAATGCCGTCAGCCAATTCCAAATCAACCAGTTTTCTTCCGAAGATCATTTCAGCCTCTGCATCATGCCACATCCTAAATTACCACTGTGCAATACAATTGATTAGTGGTAGGGAAATGGGGCAACTCCGACTAATTCCGATTGCTTTTCTGATGTCTGACAGTTCATCTTGGACTCTGCTGCTGCACACAACAATTAAAATGTCCACTTTTTCCATGGGAGCATCTATCCGGGTTGGTATATCGAGTAGGAATGGAGGGAGCGAACTAGCGATTTGATCATGCCCTTCAAATCGAAGAGCAAATCCGTAATTTGTGCGTAATACCTGCCCTAGCGCTAGGTGTTTGCCGATTGATCTTCATCTTGTGTGTGTATGCTCGACCATGTTGGCTAAGTGTTACTGATTTTAATTGTCCATTTAAGAGGATTCACCTGTAACGTAGAATAACGTTTGCGCCATTGTTCCCCTCACACTTGTATCGCGTTGTCCACCCCACAGGCCTCCCAGTCGACCTTCGTGAGTACAACGATCCCCATTTGGCTGCTGCGTTACTGAAGTCATTCCTACGCGAGCTCACCGAGCCACTACTCACCTTCGAGCTGTACGATGATATTCTCAGCATCAGTAGTGAGTTAATTCAACTACCACTTAGGGCTGTACATGTTCCCCTGCACCATCTTCATCTTTCTCTTGTCTTGTATGTATGTATTGCGTCTTATGAAACACATTCGTTGGGAATTTTGTCTTAATATTAACGATTCCATAGAATTAGAGAGAACTTGTGATCACTACTCGTGGCAGAATCAGAAGGAAACGGATGCAAAGGCGCTGCTGACTCCGTGACTGTGTCATACCCGATCTACTATCCAAACACCGGTGTGACCTACCCGGCGTCTACCATCCCCGTTGGCGACATAGGCCAGCCCCATTTAGACTGTTTGCAAGTTTCATTACGCTCTTTTGTGACGCCATTGACTACACACCTCGGGGTTTCACTCAACTATCCGCTGTAGTGTTTAATCACATAGTTTGATTCACTTCAAGTAAATAACTAAAACTCGTATCCGAAGTTCCGCGACTCTTCACGAGGATGTCAATAAGATACCACAGTGAGAAAATTAGGTAGAATGCAGGGCTATTGAGTTGTGAAACAAATAACTAAACCAATCGGAGTGGTATGTCATTAGCTGGACGTGAATAATCGAATGCAGGTACGCCACGGGTTACACGACTGCCGCATGTCTGGTGGAGTTATCAACCACTGGTGTGGACCATCCTAGGGCCCCCCCATCCATAACGACGACATGCGCTAGCCTGACCAACTCACTCGGTCAATTTCTTCATGCCTTTATATCACGTAATTAGTTTGTCATCTCGAACTTATGCCCAACTTGATGTAGCCACGGCGCATCGCGCACTCCCAGCAATGCGCTCAACGGGCATACGGAGAACATGGTCTAGCCAACGTAGGCACTTAAGATTCAGCAAACACTCGAATGAGGCATCAGAAGGCTTCTTGTTTAAAGCAACTAGTGGACCCAACCATATGTGAGCAATACTTCGCAATCACCGGTCTTCAAAGCGGCCAATTTCTTGATGTCTTTAGCTTAGACATCGGACTAACGCATGTGCGACGATGATCTAAATAGCCAGCTCACTTGTTTCCGGATCGATAGACTTGCTGGCGCGGAGCAATTTGGTGCATTGTCCAACACCTAATGATCATCAGCATCACTTACCCAGCGTTCCCACCGATCATGAGCGACGTTACTCATGGTTTGTTAATCAAACACCGCGGTTAGTTGCCTATTGTCTTCAGCTTACGGCGGGAAAGTGTCTGATCTGCACAGCTTCAAGCATCCCAACAAACATATGTCCCACCACTTTTATGTTCATACCGGGGTCTCTGAAAACCAACGCTGGTCTTCACATTCCGCACAGCAACCACTTCTTAGTGGCGACCACCTCAGGATCGATACAGCCTGTTTGGTTTGTGAACCAATCGACCACTTTGAGTGGGTCATTTGGTGGTTTTGAAGTCACAAGTTGTCCGGTGCTTGACATTTGTCTACACAGTGTACAGCGAAACGTAAACCTTCTGAGTGTGATTCAACAAGAATTCATCGTTCACGCACGCGCAACTGGAATTTTGTTCATCGTACCGTTTGTAGAGTTGTGGAAAAAGGTGGAGCAGCTATTCCATGAAATAGGGGCCACAGGACAGGTCTGGTGAATTCTAGTGTATGGAATTAAAAACATAGATTTTTGTGATTTCTAGAAAAGGTGTCATCGCTGCCGCATGCATGTTGTACCGACAACCACACGTGCTCATTCTTCTCTAGACTGGCCCGCGGTCTCATTATGAAATAATACATTCAATCTTGCATGTTTTCTGTACGGGCGACATTATTTAGATTAAAAAGTTAGGAGCATTACGAGTACAAGATTCCATGGCGTCAGATATCGGCAAAAATCAATTTGTAGTATTGTTTATTTCTAACCAAGTAGGAAAAGTCAATGTGGTACTTTTACTGAGGGGATCTTAACTAAATCAACAGATGTAAATAATCTCCATGTCTCATTTTCACCATTTCCATTAAACACTAGTGATAAAAAATAATTTTAATGTCATTTTTGTTGGTGAATAATTTCCGTGTTGCTCATAAGCAGTCAGTGTAGCAAACAAGCTCGTTTTCGGTGATTTATCAACACATTTAAATAGCTGATATAGAACAGGTTAATGCACGTATCAGAATTGGAGTAGGACGTAGACGTGACAGGCGTGTTTCTCGTGATTCACACAATTGGGTGTGCGGCAGCAGGCCAGGGAAGAGCCAGGGTCCTCACAAATTGTTTGTGCACACATTTTTGGTCATTATCTTAATGTGACCCGACATATTTTCACCGCACAAAATGTGACCCTCCTTGGGAAATGTTTAGGCACTCATGATCTAGACGTTGTCAAGCTAGCCTCATCAGGATATGACAAGTTACTCTCCGAACCCAGCGTTCACACAAAGACACTCACACCAGAGCTGCTTCCTATCAGTTGGGCAGCTAACACAAATTCAGCATTTTCTAACAGAGTAACAGTTTTGAACACATGTCTTGTCAGAAAGGAAGTTGAAACGGATAAAAACATCTGACCAATGCGAGTAACCGCACTCGACGCTGTTAGTAATTATCCTCCGTATGATATGCCACAATGGGTACAGGTACGGGCGATTAGCTCATTGATTTTGAACGTGGAATGAGCTATTGGCTCAATCTGAATCAGTAGATGCCTTAGCAGCGTACTTGCCACCTCGATTGGTGGCGGCTTGCAAAGGAAGTCGTTGCTCTGGGAGCCAGCCCTGTCCTCTGCACATTCATAACATGCAAGACAGTGGAGGATGAGCCGCGCTATATCGCGGTTAGATATCAGTCATGGCGGTCCGTTACCGTCGCCCATGGCTCAGTGACATAAGTCGCTGACTCGCAAGAGTAAGGTCGTAGTTTCGAATCCGGTAGGATCCGGCGGGTGTGCGCTACTGACGTGTCCCAATAGGACGGAACGGCCGTCTAGCGGTTTTCTGGATGTGTGGTGCCTCTCTATTTGTGTTTAACTGCGACGAATCTACACAAAGCCTAGTAAATCCCTCTACTACTTACAAATCAATCTGAAACTGTTATTTCGCATCATTCCAAAGCGAATCAAGCACACTTTGAACAAATGAATACCTTGTGGCGCCCTGATTTGTTACCAACTGTTCCTGCCCAGCTCCTCATGTTAGACACCAGTTGTTGGCAGTTCACGCTGGTCTTCATATTTGCTGCTCGGCGTGCGGATGTCAAATTATTTGAACCTTATCTGACTTACAGCATATACCTCCATTGGTTGCTATATACTCTGCTGTCCTACTTGATCCGCAATAGTGTTGAGCCTCCTCCAACTTTTGTTCCCATGTGTATTGACAAAGTTACTCCATGCTAGAACTGCTGAGCTTATTGGACGCCCACATAATGATTAAGCAAGAATCATCTCTCTTGGGCATTGGTCCTCCTTCGCCGAGTGCCATACGCCACGATACTCGACACTTCTGGCTGTCTGATGACACCCGATGGTGTACCTGCACATAATCGGAGCTGGGAATTCCATCGGTTTCCACCTGGGTGCAAATCAACTTCTGTTGCATACCCGACGATAACTAGGGCGATTAACTGACTTTCAACTATCCTGTTTACGTAAAGCGATCAGTGTCAACCCCCGTTTTGTTTTGTGGTTCACAGTAAACCATCTTATGTCGGACCAAGCAAAATCCACACTTTTCATTTTTATGGCTCATTTTATTGGGAATATTCCCGCTTACGCGCATTCCTTGTATCCATCTCAACAGTATTGCCATCAAATCTTCATGTCCTGCAGTTGGGTTAGGCTGAAACCTCTCTCTCGATTGCTCCGTTGTGGAACTCCCATAGTAGAGGGCAACATGCATACGGTTGTCAGCATATGTTGCGCCTTATTTATCTGGTTTGGCCTAACTATTTTTGTTCTTCTATTTGATAGTTGTGAGACAGCTTGCAGCTCGGAGACATTTATCTACGTTGCTACGTGACCCTGTCAGTACATTTCCCGTTAACCAACACGAGTTTTTGTTTTCTTTCACTCTCTCACATGTTGTAGCGCCACGTGACGTGACGGTTATTGTGTCTAGGTTGGCTTGTTCTGGTTTCTTCGACCGGCGCAGTTTCCTTGCTACTGATTGCGACGCACACACATGCGATCTCTTTCGGTTACTGCAATATTCAACTCTAAATAGCGATTATTCTCATCAGGCCGTTACAGTAATAAGAAAACTTACAATGAGGTACGCTTCTGTCAGCTACGTTGAGGAGACCTAAGCCAAGAGTTTGAGCAGCCTATAAGTCAGCTTGATGCCTAGGTCGATTCACTCAGGGTAGACCTCGCATCCGATTGTAAGCCGTTAGTGTCAGACACCTAGTAACTGCGTCGTGGCCAGGGCAGGAGAAACACTTGTACAAGGGCTCGCTGCTTACACAACTGGGGCTGGGTCAGTCTGATCGAAATTGCTTCCGTTGCCTTCAAAAGATGTCTTCTGAGGGCCTTCAGATAATTTGGTGAGAGTAGAAGACTTTAAACGCATCCGATGTTCGAATTGCGTGTCCACTTAAGATCAAATGTTCCATGATAGCGCTGTTTGTTTCTTCTACCCATGTCTCTTCTTAACCACTCTGGGCAGGTTTCTGCTACCGGTTTTGACAGACGCCTGGTTGTGTTGTACATGAGGTACCTTGCACAACAGGTGCAAGTAACTTGCTGCAGTACGTATGATTGGAACAAGACCGGGAGTCTGTCTTTGAGACGCGGATTAACAAAGGATGCGGTCTGAGTAAGCGCATGTGGGTAGGCGGCTGGGCAGGTTTTGGGCACTGCGGCTGAGTGTCTCTTTTTCGGTAAATCCAAAGCAACATCTCCTTTGACTGGCACCGATAGAATCACATCCGTTTTTTGGTACAGTCAAAGTGGTTTCGGAGCGCAGACAATTTGTGGCGTTCTTTCTGATTGACTGAACGGGTTATCGGTTCCTTGGCGGCACGGTAATGTAAGCAACGCATTAAGTTCCGCTTGAGTTACAAAGGTACAAAGCTTAAAAAGTGTGTATATTGTCCCGCCCAAGTGGGCTTCCGGAAAATGCTTCTCTCCAGAGAGCCGTCGTTTCTTCGCTTTAGCAAAACGTCCAAGAAGGCCAGTCTTCCCTCGCTTTCTATCTCACTGGTGAAATGCCACATCGGATGTGCGCTGTTGCATTGTGCTAATAAACAAAAAATGTCTCTGTTTGAATCACACCTGATGAAAGTATCCACATATCGCAGCTGCATATCAACCGTTGAGATAACTGGCGACAAACGTCCCCTTTCAAGCTTCGCCAGGAAAACGTCAGCAAGGAGCGGTCCTAAGGGGGGACCCCATCACCACACCGTCAATAGACCTGTAATAGATTCCATGAAGTACGAACTGCATGCTTGGCGGAATCCCGAGTTTTATATTCTTGGTGGTAATGTCATCACAACGAATATTGACGGTTTCTAGCAGCCGGACGCTGTTGAAGATCGATTCTACATCAAATGAAACCATGAGTTTGCCACACACGTTCAGGTTCTCTACGTGTTTCTTGAATTCAAAAGAGTCTTTTAGTGGGTGAGTAGAAAGTTCCGTTTGCACTGGCTCCAACATTCCCACTAGCCATTTCATGGCAGAGTGGAGGGCGGCGGAAGGGTACATGTCAACAATCTACATGCGTTATTTGTGGACAGCATTGAAAATAAAGTCTACCAGTCTTCTGGAACCTATGGTTTGCAGTGTAGTCCACGTATAGACTTTTTACCAATTTAACATCCGAAATAGGTGCCAGACATAAATTTCGCATAAGAACCAGCAACTATTTGTCTGTGCAAAATGTGTTACACCTATTGGGATGTCACATCTACCTTTTATTTAGTTACCTCCATTTTCTTATACATGCATTCCAATTAGGCTTCACTTAAACATCAAGCTTATGCGTAGTCACTTAGTTGCCTCTTGTCTGTAAGCGATGGTGCGCGGGTTGGATGACTGCAAGAGCGTTCAAATCATTGCGAGATCGGGGATTGGAATCAGAGACGTAGATACGGTCAATCGCTACACCTGGGACCTCCGACTTGTCGGGTTGACGGGACACTCCCGTTGAATCTAGAACTGCAGATGATCGCGATCCTCAAACCCTAGCTTTGGTATACCTTTTTGATCACTGGTATACTTGTTTAGAGGTTGCCACCTCTCAGTCAGATCGGTTGGATATGAACGCGGCCTTCAATCTGCGTTCCACTTTCACATTCTCCATGTGTATTTAACGTCTTCTTTGTAGATATCGAACCAGGTACGACCATACTGCAGCGCTTAGCATTTTTTCCAATTTTATACTTTCACCTTGATCTCATGCACATCTCATGGACCGCAATAATTCACCAGTGATTTGTCTGTATAACCGCTTTCACTGAAAATTTGTCTCTTCCACTGGCTCCAGTTATTTTTACGGAGTAATCGGTTTTTTGGGATGCACTTTTCCCACTGCTTCTGCCTACCTAGAGGTGCCTTCGCACAACTCATCAAAATTAAACTTACGGACTATTTTTAACTAGTACTCAACTGTCTGCTAAGCTCACAAATATTCAGACGTTAAGCTTTGCTATCCTTACATCATTAAATCGTGCGTCTTATGCGCGCTAACTTCTTTGCGATGTGCCACTGCGTTGCGCTGGTCTTTTGTTCTTCACCATAAAGGCCGTTTCCTGTAACCTCTGGCCGACTGTCCATGTTGCTTGTAATAGGCTGTGAACAGATCACTGCACACGTAGTAACGTGTGTCGTTTTCACGTATTCATTCACAGATGACAAGTATTTGCCTGAGTTGCGTCAACATCGTTCCCATCCACGTATACCTCTGCTCTTGGTCTCAAACTGTGGGGTTGAGGACAGGTGATGATATACTGTGGCTTCATTCTGATCCACTCTCTACCAATCTACGTGTCATCCGTAGTCAGTCCAATCCACTTGCCTACTTACTGGTATATAATGAGAAAACATGCGTACGGCACGCTTGCAGTATCGTCGCCACCCTGTGGCTCGTTCGTTGATGGTATTTCCCTTTTTGTTCTTTCTTTGCTCACTCGCATCAGCACACTGCTATCGATCGCAAACTATTTCTTCGCGCTTCCCAGTCCACCCACCCGCATCATTAGCGACACACTCACATTGCTGTTCAACTGCATTTTTGGCAAGACATTCATATATCCCAATTCTTTTTGTGCTAATGAGTCGTCCATCTGCCTCATTACCTCACACTTATCATCCCTATCCATCATGTTGTCGCTGCAATCCACAGATTTACAGGCTCGACACAAAGTGTCTGCCATCAAGGAACTGGTGGCCACAAAACTACCCGATGACAATTATGAATTGTTGAACTATCTCATGCGTTTTCTGACCGAAGTGAGCACAGTGTGTCATTTTACTTCACATCTTTTGTTCCCGTTGAATTGCTCTATTGATTGTCGCTCTTACGGTTCAACATTCGTGAGTGATGTTTGTTCTTCTCATGAGACGCACTAAACATTGACCGCACGTAGCTTTCTGACTTCGCTATAGCTGCTTCAAAATCACGATCTTTTGCTAAAGTATTTCAAAACTAATCAAACTGAATCCTCTTCTGATTCGTTAATTCTTCCCATGCGCTCATGATCGATTGCTGTGCATTCAGGTTACCTTTATATCAGCTATTCCTCGGGCAAAACTGACCTATCTCTGATTTGATCTTCATCAGAGCTCTTTCTTGATCTCCCACTTGGCTAATACATTCTGTTCGGCATTAACGCTGTTTTTACTCTTACTGATCTTTTATCCATGCACAGCCATGGGGTTAAAATTTTTCCCGTGGTTTTTGCCTGGTGGACCTGATTTTTTAAAATTTTCTTTTCCCAAATTTCGCATTTTGTTCCCAGTCTATTTCTGGCAGCACCGTGTTTCATTGTGCTGTGAATTTTTAATCCGTGATCTTATATTTATGATTGCACGCTACACAGCGATCCTAACCGCAATTCATCTACCCTTTGCTTAGTTAACATCCGTCACACGGTTTTGATTTGCACTCAACTTGTCACATTTCATCATACCTCGGAGAGTAACATCATTCGATGCGAATTTACCTCCGTATATTGTCAAAGATAAGTATGGACCACGCAGCGACACACCTTCCGTGAAAAACTAGTGTCATGTTTGGTAATAATGAGCATATGCAGCTTGTGGTGAGTGATATTGATCGGAGATGGATGTTGACTCAACGGATGGCATTGCCAATCGGCTTATTTGCAGTCTTCCTGATGAGTCCGGTCTAGTTGTACCTGTGTCTGACGTACTCGGATCTCTCCTCGACGTGATCGATTTTGGATTAGACAAACTATCACTATTGAAACTTCCAACCGAAATCGCAGTCAGTATTCGCGTGGTGAATCTTTCTACCACAGCTTCTTCTCTACCTCTTCCACTATTGACCCGACTATTCCGCTTAAATCATAACCTATTTGGTCCCCTTCAGCCACTTGATCAAAGCAGAAAGAAGGCACAGAGTGCGATATGTCAACATTTCGATTGTTCTCATCAGTCACATACACAATACAAGCAGAAACACATACACAATTATATACATGGGAAAAAATTGGCCAACCAATCAAAGCGTCAAAATCAAGTCTAAGGCAATCGGATTGATTGCCTCAAGAGTTTCTGTGCACATAGCACTGGTTGCTAAGCCATGATTAGCAATGCTTCACTGATTGCCAACATTATCGGATTCCGGTTATGTAATAGCACTTTGAACGCAATCTTGGGGTCCACATTGTGACCAGTTATCACGAGGTGCTTAGTGATAGATGATGACAGAATCCGGTTCATTCTGGGGGACGCTCCATTTTGTTGCGTCATCATTTGCTCTACCCACTTTGGCAAGTGTTCAGCCACCCTCTGAGCCAACCGACGGTTAGTCCTGCCTATGTAAACGTCACTGCAACTGCAGGTGAACTGATAAACTATATGCGAGGGCGAACTAGCCGAAGGGTAGCTCTGACGGTCATGAAGAACAAGTTTCCGAGTCGTGTGCATGAGACGCAACTGTGCAGTCGTGTACTTGCGCGTTAGAGCGGACCTGAGCTTGTGTCCGATGTCGTTTGCAACCTGGTCTCCTTTGAAGGGCAGGAACAGATAAACAGCTTTTTCTCTGCCGTTAGCACCGGCAGTTTCTTTTTGGGGAGTCTGCTGTGCACTTGGATGAACTTTTCAGGATAACCATTTGCCACCAACGTCCTATGTAGAAACTCCTCCTCTGCTTCCAGTGTATCCGGACTACAAACACGTCTAGCCCTGTAGAACAGCGTTTTCACTAGGCCGCGTTTGTATGCAACCGGGGCAAAACTGGAAAAGTGAAGGTATTGCCCACTCCAGGTTGTCTTGCGGTAAACGGTGCGCTGCAATGTACTCTTGAGGCAATCAATCCGATTGCCCTGGACTTGATTTTGACGTTTTGATTGGTTGGCCAATTTTTTCCCATGTATATAATTGTGTATGTGTTTCTGCTTGTATTGTGTATGCGACTGATGAGAACAATCGAAATGTTGACATATCGCAATCTGTGCCTTCTTTCCGCTTAAATCACACGATGTCGTGTTCATCTACTTTACGGCATCTGCATGGCAAAAGGATTCGGATGACATAGGTTTCTTTCCCAGATGAGTGAGACACGGTTCATCCGGGTAAATTGTTTCCGAGAGTTTATGGCACATTGGACATCCTCTAACTAGGAGACGTCGTAGTCCACACCATCGGGACCTGTCTTAAACCTTTGTTACCCCACCTAAATTGCACTACTAAAGCTGTATACTATGTTTGGTGGAACAGCAGCACCCTCTTTAACTACCTTGTTTGCAAGCACTAAATTTATACGATACTGTGTATGGTAGGCGAATTCATTCATTGTACACGTTAGCTAGAGGTGGGAAACACCTCAGTCATTGTGCCGCAGTACACAAGAGAAAAAAATAGCGACAGCACATCGGCGCGCCAGTTGAGCCGTCAGTAACAGATGGAAATGGTTACGAAGAGCTAGCAGCCGACTGTTGCACCGCGAAAAGTTATATTATTCTTCAGGAATGAGATCGTCGTTGGATGGGGATAGAAAGTGGAACTTACAGCCCAAACGTCACTGACCATGTCAACTAGTGTATCTAACCAAACGTGTTCCTCGTCTTTCGGACCCCAATCAGGGAGTCCAGAGACTCTAACTACGGCTAGCTTCGGGCAAAGCGCCTTCATTCCTCTAGACCATGTTGTCGGTTGGTCTCCCTTCCTCTTCTTCCATCCATACCCCGGTCGCGCAAACAATTCACATCGCGGAACTCGGTGTGCTGACCTGCGCAGCACGTGGCCCACCCATCGAAGTCTACTGCGGGATATAACAGTGCTCAGCGGTTCACCTCCACTGCCTGTGCCAAACTGCGAAGGCATTGTTGATCGAGCCTAACAAGCCTCTTTACGTCTACCCATCTGATGAGCCAGGTTTCACAACCGTACAGGATAGTAGAACGTACGGCTGGTTTGTAAACTCTACTCTGCAAGTATAGAGTGATATCGTGCCGGCGCTTTAGGTAACGAAAGTTAGCAAAAACGCCCTGAGCTTTTGCTATACGGTTCGGAACCTCGACTTCAATTCCTTCGGCAACGATCAACTGCCCTGGTACTTGAATTTTTGTACGACTTCTAGCTGATCTGTACCAAGGGTTAGTGTAGGAGGCGGTCGCTGCCAATCTTGGAGGAAAGCTCTGCACTGAGGATGCAAAGCGGAGCCCGAAACTGCTGAAAGCCATTGCTACCATGTCCGGTGCAGCTTGGCACATTCGAATCCGCCTAGGAGTTGGCATCTTCGCGGTATTCTCAGCCTACGCTCGGCTGATGGTGGTCGCGCGGCAGCGAAGCTCCGTTACAGCGCACAGCTGACGATTTATCTTTATTTTATTTTAGCACCTTTATGAGCTCTCATAGGTGCGAGCAATGTCGTCAGCATGCTCCTGCTCAAGAAGTCGTTCACTTTGGAGCAGCTCCACATCTTCTAATTTGTGTCCTGTGAACGCGATCTCCATGACTTCGTTCATAGCGAAGTGGAAGAAGCAAGGTGACAGAGAGCATCCTTGTCTTACACCGCTGGAGATATTGAAGGGGGGGAGCGACAGCTTGCCGTAAATCCTCACTCTGTCCGAGCTGCGCGCGTGAAGCGCTTGGATAATGTTCACCTATTTCTCCGCAACACTTTTCCCTGGTAGACACTCCTAAAGACTATATCGATTCACCGCATCGAAGGCACCTTTGATTTCGGGGAACACAACGGTGGGTCTCCAACAATTGACGCAATGTGAGGATGTGATCAATACAGCCGCGACTGCGACGAAACCCATCTTGCTTATCGCGAATCTGACTTTTACGGGTGCCGGTTAATCTGTGAGGAATGCCAGAGGCAACTAACTTGGATGCGATGGAGATCAGACTGGTTCGTTTATGGTTGCCGCATTCTGCACGTGAGCATCTCTTACTAATCGGAATAATAACGGAGCGGCTCCAGGCGGTTGAGACACTCCTGCTCCCACAGCTTCACTAGCAACTCGTGTAAATCGTCAGCAAGACCAGGGCCCCCGAATTTGATGAGGGCTGGAGGAAGATCATCTGGTCTCACCCCCACCCCCTATTCAACTTCAATAGTGTGATCTCACGTTCGACTTCTGAGCGAGAGAGTGGATTCAAAGGAACAGCCCAGGGGGAAGGGCGACCACTAGCCGGCGAGAAATCTAAGGATTCCGGTTAATTAAATTGCCTTACAAAATGCTCAGCCAAACGCTCCAAGCCTTTTGACATGTGGATAGAATAAATCGAAGGGAGGCAGATTTTGAGTAAAGAATTCTTTTCGTTAATTCTCCTCAGACTCAAATTATACCTGATGACGGTTCTGTGCTAAATGTGCGTATTGCTTAGCATGTTTAATTCTAACGGAAACCCATCAATAAATCGCGGTCACTTAAGGTGACAGATTATGTACACGGGTAAGTCAGTTCCACAAACAAAAATTACTTGGGCACATCAAAGAAAGTTGTAAGCCACGGTAGAAGTATTGGACGTACGAACTGTTTCTGTACGCATAACCGGCTTGAGGTGGCGAATATAGATAGTCTCTCCTGCAGATTTAGCACATAATCGTCATCATGTAAAGTTTGCGTCTTATGTGTATTACCGAAAAGAATTCTTTACTCAGATTCTGCTTCCCTTCGATTCATTCTTCTAAATGGGAATTTTTGGATCGCTGAAGATTAGCATCCCCGTGATTCAGTCAAGTTGTGGATAGGTTATCCCATTTCGTCACATACAGTCTCACTGACACCAGGTCTGCTCCCCTTTTCCGTGATCAGGTTTTATAACTTCAGCTGGTTACCATGGCCAGCGGCTACTTCCATCTCTGACGCATGATGAGACCATCAAGATTTGCGGTCTCTCTTCAGGCTCGCACGGATTTTCCCTTTGAGGTCTTTTCGATTCTCTTTGGGTTCGCTTTTAGCTGGAATGTGCCGGCGAGCATCGATAAGTTCCAGAGACTACGAAGAGACCCAATGTCCATGTTGGCTATTAGAGTTCCCACATGAGAATTTGCCTGCTGTTAGTAAGGTCTGGTGTATATGCGACCCGTGACCTTCAGTTGTCTCCAGTGAGCGCTTACTCAACCCGCATGTCAGCGTATTTCAATACGCACTCAGATCACCTGACTTCGCCAGTTGGCTAGTGTCTATGCGCTCACAGGGTCGTCGAGGGCTACCGCCCAAATGCACCCACAAATCAGCACATACAAGTGCATGGTCAGTGTCCATACATGTGCTCCAAATCGAGCGACAGTTTTAAGCGCGGCCTTTCCAGCGACAGCTGATCGCGATGTGATCGATTTGTTTGCATGGCTGCATCTTGGTTGCTGGGCATCATGTCACCCTCCGGTGGGTGTTGTGTGCTCACAAGAAATAGGCGAGCATCTTCACACAAGTAAAGTAACCGCTCACTGTTATAATTACCAGAGCCTACACCTTATTGTCCGCCCAGATGCAGCTCATCAGTGGACCATTTTCCAAGTTAAGTGTTCAGATCCCAAGCCAGGCCTACAGTATCCGTGATTCTTCTGTGGCGAAGGAGCTCGTTCATTTGGCGATAGTAGTCGTCTTTTACCGTGTCATCGCCACAGTTTCTGGGGACATAGGCAGTGATGCCAAACAGACACCTGTTAGCTCCACGCGACTTCGCAACTTTGAATGAGCCAGTCAGTCGTACCGCACACATCCGGCTTCTGACTAGGATCCAATCAACCAAGGCAGTTTCAACCCTGGGCTTCAGGGCTTTGCCGGCGCTCGAAACTGCATCATCTCTCGATAGAGGCAATGAGAAGGTACTGCTAGTGTCACCTGAAGGGGATCGCAGAGTGATTACAGAGCTCGAATCTTGCAGGCGGGTTTCCGGTAATATCAGACATGGATTTCTAATGTTCAGGCAAGTGCTGCCTATTGGCCGATCACTAAGAGTGTGCTACATTGAGGCATGCCAGTCTGAGGGAGAATCGAGGACTCCAAATAGAAGCCGATGAACTGGGCTCGTCCGCTTGATTGGACAGGGGTGACGCTCTGCATTGAAACTAGGATATAAACGCTTATTGAAGCACGATGTGGGAGGGCCGGCAATTGGGGGTTAACACAGTGGGTAAAACGAAGTTGGAACTGGACGATAAGGATGAAAAAGCTTAAGAGGGGAAATAGGGAGAGGAGAAGGCTTGAGCAGTCGCATCCTCTGCGACGGCCAGTGCTTGTATTGCTTGGGCACGATACTGTCAGATTGTCCAGGCCTAGACACGAGAACGATTAGGGTTCTCAACCAAAGGCTTTTGTTCAAAAACCTGACCGCAAGGTAGCATTGGCATTGGGTTACAGAGTGTCCGTTTCACGGAGTATGGAACCACCATCCCTTTAACCTGGAGTACCAAGAAGCAGAATTGCTCTGGCCTCTAACCATTGACAAATCTGATACGTAACGTTTTCGTCCCAACTACCGCAAGCTACATAGCACAGCCTAGTCCGGAAAAACTCCAGACGCATTTCGCCCCATTGGGGCTCGTCAGTGGTGCACATTCCCTCGGTCCCATACTGGGGATCGAACCCATCACCGCTAGAGGCAGATGCCAACTAGCCAGCAGGTTAAGCCACTGAGCCATGGGGGACGTCGGTTGGGCTACACAACTGGGATATAGAACGACCTATCCTGTATGATTGGCTCTAAAGGTGCAAAAGCACCACCTGGCATAACTTAACTGGTCGTTAACGCACACCAACCTTCGCATCACGGTAAGATCCAGTCTCGTCGCAATAGACGAACAGACACGAGTTGAATGCTTATTTACAATTAAGCTTGTCCATACCTTGGTCGCTTTCACTGTCAGATGCGATGCACAAAATGGTCACCCGAATTAGAGGAGCGCGTAATGTACAACCGAATACTGTCACATCCTACACATTCTGCACCCATAACTGATCCGACACTAGTGGTGCTAATTTCCAAAGAAATGGACCTCAGGTTTCAAAGTGTAAGTCGGTTTGGTATTTCAGTCAAGCGCAGCTCTACACCGTGATTCACTCGGAGGATGTCCTTCCTTTCTTGAAACCGAGAATCACTAGTGTAACTGGATTTGCTTTTCTTTTCCTCGACACTGACGTTTCCTGTCCGCGGTTTATCGGACCTTATCAGCATTTATCTTAGTTCTGACCGCATTCCGTCGAGTTGCAATATCACCAGGGGATCTGGGATAATTCACTCGGTGCGGAAATACCCGGAGTTCTGCATTTGCCTCAACATGCTCTGTTGTTTTCATGGGATCCATTATCACACTGTGCGAATAAGTTGATTATCACCCATCCTGTTAATCTTGTCCGGATCACCTTCCTTTCATGCGTACCTATTGTCCCAAACCTTTCACTTTCACTGTTTTCACGAACCATTCTCAGCATTTTCGCCTGTATTCCTCTATTGTGTACGGTTCTAGTACTTGGCACTTTATTTGCCGACTGCTCTACGCCGACGTAGCAGGTCGCATCGCGGTCGTATGTCAACCTATCAGATGGCAGAATTTCTGCGCAAATCTCGATGGACATTGGAACTCTATTCAGTGCTGGAGCACGTCGTCTGAGGGATTAGAGTGTCGTGTTCCTTTTTTTCGCACCCTTTTTCCATAGTACATTTACTTCATTGATTCCTTATCATTTAACCCTAAAGCTACGTTACGGCTTATAGAGGTTGCCCATCACTCTGCCGTTTGCTCCAACTGCATACCTTACGCAACCTATTATAACGTTCAGCTTGTTAACTTTGTTGACTGGAAAGTGGAAGCATTCTTCCGCTGCAAGTTTGAGCATGTTTTCATTTTATCCAAAACGAAAGCTGTCGTGTGCATGTTAGTTCACTCCTTCTCGGGGACCGTCGGTGTGCCTATCTTCAGGCCCTCGGAATTAAACATTTCCCATGAAATCCGACGCCTTGTGTGCATGAACAAGTGAAATGTATCCTGACGTGGTGATTGTCCGCTTCTGTGTTTAGTGGCTTCTACAATTTTCGAACCTTGAACCATGCAGCTGTGTAAGCAACTGATAATTACCTAGATAGTTAGGACAGCAATGGGTCATAAAAATGTCAACTAGATCACAATCACTTCTGGTATCGTGAACAAAGGCGCTATTGGGACGAAAGGTGGTGTGAGATTGCTCATTGAGAGTTCTAGCGATTCGTGAATATTCCCAGCTGATCTCAGGAGACGATGACGGACTGTAGGAGTGTGCCTCTGTGTGTGTTCTCAGCCTCAGACTGCAACGTTGGGTTTTAGTCTCGGCATTCGGAATTGAGCGCCGAACTTTCACACTACTAATCTGCTGGGTGTAAAGGCGGTCATCGACAGGAATTCGTTGGCTAGGGCGGTTGAATTCGCCGCCCTCATAACATTCACACTTACGATGTATTTTATTGTTCCGATTAGCGCGCATCACACCAAACTCGGTGCTTCACTGCTGACGCTCTGGAGTAAAAAAAGATGATATATCTCATAGTACCTAGTGACTACAGTGAATGGTTACTATCTCAAACTAATTTCTACTGCCAATTGTTGAGGTTGGGTCTGAGTCAAACCAACTGCGTTTGTGTCAAACCAGATTGCTTCTCTTTTATGCGATTGAATTTTATCTTTAGTCGTTCTCTAGTCGCATATTTGATACTGGCTTGTTCCACAAATTTCGCGGATATCAGTGACCTGTCAGATGATGTATTAACCATCAACGATTCTGTTCAAAGTTCCACACCCGGTAACCTATCTATGAGCATGAAGTGATCAAATGAGCACTAAACCGGTCGTGAACTGAGGTGTTTGTAATGATGAACTCCAAAATCTTTCCACTCCGCTTTTCTTCCTGTCAATCTGTACCGTTCCTAGTGCAAGAGATTTGCGAACTTTTCCCTATTCCGTTAATTGGTGCATTTCTGTTTCATAAACAGTGACGATTGAAGCACCCTTTATCCGCTTCTATGTTAAGGCTTTGCGTTTTTCTGTGGGTGTAACAATCACCTCGCTTTCTCTCACGAGGTTCATGGTTTCTCTCTTCACAACCCTGTTCAAGGTAACTGAACACTCAACGCAGAACAAAATGAATGCCACGAATCTGGCCGTGGTTTTCGGACCTTGTCTCGTCTGGTCACGCCAACAGACCTCATTGAACGCTATCACTGTGATCAATGCTTTTGTCCAACTCCTCATCACTCACTACGAGGCCATATTTATCAAGTGATCAGGTGGCTCATTTCCGCGGCGAGTTCACACGGTGCTCGACACGAACGCACGCACGTTCCCTTCTCATCTCCTGGACTATCCTTCACCTGCTTTCATATGTTCCACTCGGTTTTGTTACGTTCCAGAAGCCGCATACTTGTTTCTCTTTTACCGCACGGGTGTTTCTTTGTCACATCCTTTCGCTATACACCCATGTGGTTCATTGCTTGTGGTTCTCACATGTTCCCACGGGGTCCTCACCCTCACAACACTTCTCCCCACTCCCTATGGTTGGTGCATAGCACCACTCTCTGGCTGTGATAACATTGATCTATTTCACCTGGTGGATACTTTTGCCACGATAAAGTTACTTATTTTCTTGCAACTTGTGCTCCTCTTATGATCACGTTCCTTTGCTGATCTTTATCCTGACGAATATCATGTATTCGTTGCGATGAACTGTAGCAGGTCCCGAACGAAGTGTCGTGATTGAGATCTCGTCAAGTTGATCAGCACCGGGCGTTGTATACATTGTGCCACTCCAATCAGCAACTCGCCCTGGTTTTTTTCATGCTAATTCGCAAGATTCACAAGTATCTAATGAGCTGGCACGCTCCTGTCATGTTGCTTAGGCTTCATGATTGCTGAATTTCTGATAGTTACTTGGTTCATTTTTCCACTTTACCGGACTATTTCCGGATGTTTTTTTGTTCTCTATTAGTTTCAACGTCCCTCGACTGTAGGTGTGGCATTTTATTTGCTTGGACTCTTATCTGTAGCCACATGGAGCCGTCTATCCATTTCGTTGTATTCAAAGAAATTGTTCGCATCGTAGACAGTTTCCTACTTTGTGTAAACCTGTGACGTTTAGCAACCAACTCATGAGGCACGGGTGATACCCGCTGCTCCACAATTTTACACAATGTCTCCCGCAGCTCTTTGAAAACCACACGTCCCTGGAACCCGGATCTCAAAGGCGTTAATGCATAATGCACCTCTACATCGCGCACTGTTGTCTCAGTTGTTTTCGGAATTAAGAATTTCACTTATACGTTCAGCTAACATATTCGAGTAAACTCAGCTCTGTCCAGTTTAGTTGAACAACTGCGATCCGGGCACGGAAGTGCGATGGATCCCGTTGCCGCAACTCTCGTCTTCAGATTAATCATACAAAACAACAGGTCAAACCTAACTCGGATATAAAGGAAAGACAGTAGTGCCCAAAACTGATCGAGCTAGAAAATTAAGTGCCAGATGCAATAGACCGAATGCCGGACAGCCACCGACTACGTCATGCCTTATGGAGTCCCGAAGTCCCCATCCACGAAAACGGTATGCAACTGTCTGATCGTGTGTCTCAGTCAACTCATCCAACCCTTTATCTCACATCTTCAACCTGGTGCAGCAACAACTTGTGCTGCACACTGAGGAAGCCGGGCAGCAGGCATACGAAGGACATGACGGAACAAACTATTCGAACCTCAATATCTAGCCATCAGTGATCAGTGATGCTTGCTGATGTTTACTGTCGCTGCATTTAGTTAATAGCGAACCTGAGGGGCATATAAAAATTGGCCTAGTCAGGCTGATGCTTACCATCTTCCTAGATAGGCACATCCTGCAATTGTTGAGAACCTTACATGCTACGCAATTTCAAACTCAGTAGTCCCTCTATATACGGTTTCTTGCAAGATACCGTTAATTTCTTATCCCGATTGAATGTGCCCAATTTTTCTCACTTCCATCATCATGTTCCACTAGATCTTCACACCATTTCCCTCCCTCTTGCTGCTTATGATGGCTCGTGAAATGTGTATAGCACTGCACCCTTCTTTCTAGATTTTTTCAGAATATCAATGAAAGTTGATGAGTCTGTGTCTTCACGCGTCGACTGCAACGTGGTAGATGGCACCTGTTAGCTCATACACGCGATGCGGACTGCCTGTGCCATACACACACGATGTGGTTGTCGGATCGGAGTTTATTTTCCCAAGCTATTTTGTCGTTTACCTTCAAAAGAGGTGCTTACTACCTTGATATTCGTCTTCGTGCATCCGATCGCCATGGTTTAAGTGATGGTGTATTGTGATTACGCTCGCTGTCGAGCTTTGACTGACACTGGAATCCCGCGGGGCACTGAAGGGAGACAATTCTACCTATTCGATCCGTGTGCTACTCGCGTGTCTGTATGTCAGCATAGTTTTAAATTCATTCAGCTGACGCAAATATCTTTGCCTATTTAAACACTAACTCCGTCACCACTGCGTACCCAATGTTTTTTGTTTGCGACGAAATGACCAGCACTTAGCGATGAGGATTTCTGTCCCTTCGCTAGTGTCCTCTGTTGTTGCTGACCTGACAATGTTGCGTGTACCTCAGTTCATCCAGGCGGCACCGATAACCGAGCGGGATCACTCGGAACCAGGTCACTGTAATGTATGCACCGATATGTCTTCTATTTCGACGATCTACTCAAGAATAGTCCTATGTCATCTAATTGGCCACGGCGTGTTTAAGCACCAACGTCCTAATTTTATTGGAAAATGCAGTCTTTTATATGCTTCTTATTCATCAGTGATCCCAGTACCTGAGTGCGACGAACCAGCAGTTGACTGGTGCTTGTAATGGAAGATTCCCAATGCAATTTATGAATCCAAAAAGCCAGAAATTTGAAATCGGCACACCTTTTGTGCGTACAGAAAATGCTTTAATTTATCAGCTAGTAGCGACAATTGAAGATTTTATAATTTAAGCTGGATGAAAGTGTGTGGTTCACAGAAAATGTACGCTTTTCTTTATTCACGGTGCTTTTACTCCATATCAAGAGCATAGAAGAAACACGAATGCAACTGCGAACTACGAGATTTAAGCTTTCTGGAATTACATGTAGGTTCTCTTTTATTATTACATATGAATGCAGGAGATATGTCCTAGTAATGCCTACTCCTCTGGGGTTTTCCAACTTGTCTTTTCAGATTCCGCATAATCTCTAAAATGACTAGTACACCTACTACTAAGAGTCCATCGCACGAAACTGGACCTTAGCGTGATGCTACGCTGGGTGGCACTTTTCAAATGCATTCAAAGCCACTCATACCAGACACCTCAAAGGTTAGGGGTCAGATTAACCTAGTCTCACAATCCACACCTCTTCGGAGGTTAGGGAGAGGTCGATGTCCCTCTTCTTTTAAAACATAGCCACGGGTGACAACAGATCTACGGGTTAGAACAGGGATGTTCATAGTCCGGCCTGTAGGCCAAATGCGGCCCGCGTTAACAATTCAACTGACTCATGGCCTCCTCATAAAGTAACAAATTCAAGCTTGGCTTTTTTTCGTACAGACAATATTATGTAGATTATAAAACGTAAAGGATGTTATGAGTACAACCTTCAATGGCGTCAAATGTTGGCAAAAATCAATGGTGTATTGTTTATTTTCAACTAACTAAAGCGGTCCTAACTAACTCAAAAACTAAAGGTCCCTAGGTCTCAGTTTTACCCCTCAGACTAAAAACTCGCAATAAAATATTCATGACATCTGTAATTTTTTAAATCTTGACCGAATATAGTCCGCCATATTTTTCCCGCACAAAATGTGGCCTTCCTTGCGAAACGATTGGACACCCCTAGTTTAGAAGCTCACAAAGCACGACCGCTAGGCATTGTCTCTGACGGTGGGAGGCCATCTTCCATTGCTCAGTGGTTTGTTACCGCCCCCTTCAAGTTAAGCAACCCCTGATCAAATTGATGCAAATCCGCCAACTTCCACCTGCGGCCTTCTGTTGTCTTAAGTGCGTAACATAATACGGTCCTAAAACATATGTGTACTGTTCTAATTCTTCGAATGCTGTGTGTGTCAGGCCTCAATCAGATCCCATTGGGTCTCTGCAATCACACTCCCTAGCTGGACTTGCTCTCCACTGCCTTGCGGGACGGGCTATTGAGCCAAACGCTCTAGATGGAGTCTCTCAAGCAAACCTAAAAATCCCCCAGTAGCTTTTGGGTCCGACTGTTCAATCAAAGACTAGGGGTAAGACACCTCGAATAAAACCCCTCTCTCGGAATGGGCAGCCGGAGAGTATCTCTGCCCTCTCGACTACGTCAATACTTTCTCTTCTTTTTCTTCTTCTTTTTCTCTGCCCTCAACTTCTTCCGCCTCTATTGATTAAGCATCTACCGTTGACCTCACTGCCGCTGCCATTGCTACTCGCAACTCATCCATCGAACCACGAGTCTCATTTCACATTGGTTCTTCTAACGTCCGCACTTCGGGTCAGATCAGTCAACAAGCGGTACTGACTCTCACTCTCTTGCTGTTTATGTGTTCTATGTCTCCGAAACACGTTAACAAGAACAGCGTCGTGACAAAACCTCGACTCACTGCTTCTGAATCTGACGACGATGACTACTCTCATCGCCTCTGGCGATACCGAGTCAATAGGTCAAGGTAGTTACGGTGTTGGTACCACCCTAGTAGATGTACTGTAGTCTACTCGACTGGATACCGGTGAACAGCTGCATGTATGCGGTTCGACTTCGAACCTCTATTAGAGTTAATAAGCACCTTATGAGGACAAAGTGCCTTTTCATCGCCTCCTTTTATGTGTCTAGTGATTGCAGTTTTGGGGGTACCAATGATGATTTCTACTTTCATCTTTTCTCCGCAAAACGAAGTATACTGACATCGTGGTTGTTGCTGGTGACTTAAATGCCCGATTGTGTCGTCTTCCAGATTCTGAACAACACCTAGGCGGCCGTCTTGGAATCGGTGCACGCCGAACAGACAATGGTGATCGCTTCCTGCAACTGTGCGCCAACCACAATCTTTATGTTAGCAGCACTGCTTTCCAGCACGAACGTACATACCGCGTCATCTGGTGCCCACCGAATTCCTCAATGACCTGGACCCAAATTGACCATTCCGCCATCAGCTTCAGATGGCGCACATCCGTTTAAAACTGTCGGTCAAGTTGGTGCACGTGTTTGGATACTGACCAAGCTCTAATGCGCGCACTCTT